GAGTCAGACTGCTCTATATTCTAATCTTGACCCACTATTTCCTAGCTTCCCAAATATCAGTTTCCTCTTCTCCAAAGTGGGGATAGTAACAGTACCTATCTCACAGAGTCACTGCGAAGGATTAAGTGAGCTCACATGCATGAAGCTCTTAGCATAGTTCTTGGAACAGGGTAAACAGTGAGTTCTGGTACCTCGTTCTGGACTTGAATCACTTTTGTGGCACTTTAGACTGGGGAGAAGGGAGGCTTTGCAGAAGGTATAATTTATAAGCTATGTCTTAGAGGATAAGAAGGAGTTAGCATCCCAGTGGATAAAGAAGGGGGAAGGATTCCCAGCAGCAGTATGCTTAAGAATTATAAGAGAGCAAGGCCTGTTTGTGGAAATTGCATATAGTTTATCCTGACTGAAGGGTGAGCTAAAAGTGGGGAGGTGGGAGGAGGTGAGGCAGGAAAGATGATCAAGAACAGATCACAGAGAACCATGTAGAGCTCCTGGAGGAGTTTAAACTTGATCCTCCATCACTCCCTCCATCTGCATAATCTGGTTCCTCTGTTAAGCAGTCACATAAACTTCTTTAAGAGCAGCAATAGCTAAAAGGGGCAAGAGGGCAGCGAATTAGCCTCAAACGAACTGCATCTCTTTAAAGCTAATATTCCTCCTCGAGAATACTATATTAATTAAACATGTGCCTTGCAAGATTCATTATTGTTTTACTTGTGTTCCCTGTTGGTTGTCTCATTCATTAATTGGCTGATTAGTAACCCTGAACTCTTGTATCTCCCCACCCCCTTTTTGGCATTCCCTTTTTAATATACTATGCTGTTCCTCCTGGGACGTAAACTCCAGGACCCGTCCCTGGCCTGCTCGTGTTTGTTTTCTTTGCCCCTTGTGCCTGCCTCTGCTATAACATTTGTAGTATGTGTTAAGTAATCCTTAAGGTAACATTTTTATTATGTCATAAAAAGTGCATGGCAAATATATTATAACTCATGGACTTTGTTTAAAAATGAACGGATAATTTATTGAGTGTGTTACATGAGCCTTGCTCCCCTCCCCATTTCAGCTGAGACTTGCTGCTCATTTAGCCTAGCCTCCTATTGAGTGCTCCCACCCTGTGACATGCTGGGAAAGCAGACCCATGGTTGGCTAGAAATGACATCATAGTTTATGTACTCAATAAAAATTTAATTAAGTCATTACAGGAATTGCAGTCATCATTTAACCCTCTGATTTCTTCTGTTTAGTTTATTATTAAACATTCAGTAATACCAGTCACCAAATCCTGATGGCTTATAAAATATCTGCATGAATTTTAATAGCTTAAATAAATGGGAAAATATGAGTAACTGATATAAAAGGAACCTTTTCCTTGTGGTGGTGCTGTATGTATGGGTTTTTATGAAAAGCAAAGCATTATAGAAAGGATAAGAGTTTACTAAGAGAACAGCCCAACACTATCTGGGAGGAGTTTTTCATTTGGTTTGTTCATCTGTGTTTCCATCATGGGCAGGGTGCTCCATATAGAACCATCTGGCAGCAGGGCACAGAACCTGTATGCCAACAAACAAAAGCTTAAATGAGGGAATAAAATCCCAACAGAGGTTCACCAGAGGGAGTATCGAGCTTCCTTTGACTGCTGGGCTGGTTAGAAGGGCCCATTGGGGCAAGTCCAGTAGTTCAGGAAGCTGTTCTCACTCACCCTCACCTGTTGCCTGCAGATCATGTGTCTGCACTGATGGAGCTTCCACCCTCTTCCAGGAAGGGCCTTTTTCATGATCTAATGCAGCCTGGGTGATGATATCTGAAAGCCATTCCTAGCTGTGGCTGCTTGCCATCCTTCAGCTAGAGGGAAGAGGGAGAGGCAGCTTACAGGTCACTAGAGTTAGAATATAGGACCAGAGGTAGTGGAGCCTTGCTAATAGGGAATTCTAGCCCTGCTCTCCATTCTTCCTGGGTCATAGGCAGCCAGAATGTAGGTGCATCCCAAGAGGAGAAAGTGTGTTTGTATGTAACTGAACCTTGCTGGAAACTGAGGTTTGCACATTACCGTGTTGCTGATCTCTGGAAATGCCCCTACAGATGGTGAAGTAGGTAAAGCACTTGTCTGGAAATCACAGTCTAATCCTGGCTCTGACAGTAGCTTTCTGTGTGACCTCAAGACAAGTCCCTACCCCTTTTTGGGTCTTAGTTCACCAATTTCTTGGAGGCATTGAGCTAGGTGATCTCTGACGGCCCTTCCAGGTTTAAGGTTTACTGGTTAGATACAATACATAAACTAGCTCTGCTTAGCAGATTCAGTGAATGTTTGCACCTGAGATGCTCTTGCCTTTGTGTTTGACACCTCTGACGTCTGCTTGTGGCTCTGATTCATCTTGCATGATTAGGAGAATAACTTGTATGGGAGTAGGGAGAGCCCCAAAATGAGTATCAACATTTTGGGTTGCAGTCCTATCCTCCCACTTCAGAAGGAATGAACTCTAGCTCTGGCTTGTTTCTTGACTCTGTCTTTTGCCTCAACCCATTCTGGAAGATGATGCAATAAGAAATTAGGCAGTACATATTTTTGAAATTTTAGAAACATGCAAGGTACTCAAAGCAGCAAAAAAGAGGAAACAAACAAAAGGCTGTCATTGGACAGAACACACTCTGTGTGACACTAAGGCCCTTGTAAGGATTCAGCCATCAGCATGCCAGTCTTAAACCCTGCTCTGGGCCAGGCCCTGGACTAGATGTTGGGGGTGCCAAGATTAATCAGACAGAGTTCCTTATGACCTTTGAGTAGCTCACAGACTAGTGAGAGAGACAGGTACATAAATAGCTCTAAACCACATTGTATATCCAGGAGGAGGAATGTGGACAGAGCTCTAGGAACATAAAGGCTGGAGGTCTGATTTGGCCTGGACTGATAGTAGAGGGAAAGGTCATGGATTGTATTACCAGCTATATCTACTCTCACATTTTCCAGTTTGAGCTGTGCCATTCTCCTCCTCCTCCTCTTCCTCCTTCTCCTTCCTCCTCCTCCTCCTCCTCCTCCTTCTTCTTCTTCTTTCTTCTTCTTCTTATTTCTTCTTCGAAAATTATCCCTATTAGAACTGGTTTTAGTTTTCTATAAGTGCAGAGCACTTTACAGTTTACTGGGGCTTTCAGCATACGTTGTTGAATTAATGAATGAATATATGACCCAGCAAATGGTTTGCTGGTTTGTTTAAACCAGCAAATGCCCTCTGTGTAGAGCATTTGAAATGCAAGGAAATAGAGAGGTTTGACTTGCCCGAAATGGCATCCTCTGTATACAGCAGAATTAGAACTTGAACCCACGTTGTCTGACCAAACCCAGGTTCTTCCAGTACTCCTTTCTGCTCTACTTTCCAGATCAGTTATGAACCATAGAATTAAATCACTCCTTTGATTTATGATCCAAAGTTAAATCATCCTCCTGGAGGTAGGAATATGATGGAACGTAAGGCACATGAACTTTGGACTCAGATGACTTGGATGCTAATCTCAGCTTTATCACTAATTTGCTGTGGGACTAGGGCCAGTCCCTTCACCTACCTGAGGCTCAGTTTTCTGTGTATGTAAAAATGTGACTCTGGCACACCTACCCTCTGAATTCCAGTCACAGTTAGAGGAGATGATATCCATAAAGCACGTGGCCCAGAACCAGGTGCTTAGTAAATGGAGGAGATGACAGTGGGCATGGTTATGGTCAGGATTGTTAAGCACAAATCTTATTCTCCATGTAAAGTTCCAGATAACTTGGTTGTTTCTAAAATCTGTCAGTTTAAATATCCAGTGAGTCCTTACTTATGTACTGCACATTACACCAGGCTCTCTGCTGGGATGAAACATGGAGCAGGCTCTCAAGTATATTCCTAGAAGTCTGGAGGTCTGAGTTTACCCTACTGAAGATATTCAGTGAGCTGTAGTATAAGACTCTGAAGGCCCACCTGGCTGTTCTCTGAGAAAAGTTCTACCAAGGTGTCAGTGGCCTCACTGGAATTGTATTTCAAAATAGTCTCTTAAGATTAACAGTCTTACTACTTCAGCCTGGCTTATTCCAGCTGGTTTATTCTCTCCTCCTCCCCACAGCCTCCTGGCTCTCCTTTCTCCTCAGCATCTCACTCCAGGTCCTCCCTCTCTCCCTCCTCTTCACACTTATTCCTTCTGTCTTTGATACCACAGGCTCCTTTGAGTAGCCCTTAGGCATTTCCTAACCTGATCATTACCTTTCCAGTGTTACTGCCCATTTACCTTCCCTGGCATCCCCAGACATTTTCTTTCCTGCCTCTGCACCTTTGCACACCTTGTTCCCTTTGTCTAGAATGTCCTCTCTCCTCCAAGGGTCACATAAGCATTACTTCCTGGAGAACTCATCCCTTGCTCCCAGAGCAGAGATCATTTGTATGGAAATTAATTTATTGGGGTACCTGGGTGGCTCAGTGGTTGAGCATCTGCCTTTGGCTCAGGTCGTGATCCCAGGGTCCTGGGATCGAGTCCTACACCAGACTTCCCACAGGAACCCTGCTTCTCCCTCTGCCTATGTCTCTGCCTCTCCTTTGTGTCTCATGAATAAATAAATAAAATCTTTTAAAAAATTAGTTTATTGTTTACCACCTTGGGGATAGAATTTGAGGCAACGTATTACAGTTTAATTCTTTTTTACATGTCGGTTTTTCCATACTAGACTGTGTGCTCCTCCAGCTAAAAAACCATTTCTTATACTTTGTATTCATGGGGACTGCCATGAAGCCTGACATGTACCTGGGGCTCAGCTCATTAAACCAAGTTACTGCTTTGTGATCAGAACCCAAAAGAAGCTATCAAATTGGGGAGAATCCTGACAGATCAGGGAAACGGAGGTGGCCTAACAGTTCAACTGTTAGGGGCCTTCTCTCTTTGTTTTACTAGGAGTTTATCATATTTAAGAGGCAAAAATAATATTTTTTGGGTTTCCCCCCTTTTTTCATACTTTTGTTTTTGTCATTTTGTTTCTGTAGGTTAATTCTTATATCCTGAAGAAGAACATGATCCTTATGACAAATAATTTCTATGCGGCAATCTTGGGATATGATGAGGTAAGATCATTTGCCAAGCTTTAAGCAGAACATTGACTTCCCCCAACCAAGACTTTTTTTTAATTAATTTTTTTTAAAAGATTTTCTCTATTTATTCATGATAGATACAGAGAGAGAGGCAGAGGCAGGCTCCCTGTGGGGAGCGCAATGCGGGAGTTGATCCCAGGACCCCAGGATCATGACCTAAACCAAAGGCAGATGCTCAGTCACTGAGCCCCCCCAGGTACCCCATTAATTTAAATTTTAATTAGTGAACACACAGTGCAATATTGGTATCTGGAGTAGAATTCAGGGATTCATCACTTACATACAAAGACTTTTGGTGAGAAACTCTGAGGGAATCTTCAAGGGACATCATCACTATCTGCTTAGAATTTATTTCCTCATCATCAGTGACTTCGCAACAGGAATGACTATGCCCAGCAATTTGCCTAGTGCTTGGAAAAAGAGCACAAATGGCATAATATGGTCAGATCATTCAGTTAGTAGCATTTATTGAGTCCTTGTGAGGTGCTAGATGTAGGGACAAAGGCAAATCAGTCACAGTCTCAGCCTCCAGAGATAGGAATACACATCTAAACAGTATGGGCTGCCAGACATCACACACTTTTATGGCTTTAATTATAAAAGCAATACATACTCATTTCAAAAACTCATAAAACTGCAAATAAGAGGTTGAAGTAAAAAATAGAAGGCTCCTTTCCTGTCCTGCCCAGTTCCCTGTCCCAGAGGAAAACTTTGTTAATAGTTTATTGGGTGTCCTTCCAGACGTTTGCATACACAGACATCTGTATATTTTCTTTACACAATGGGAGTCACACTACATGCACTATTCTGCACCTTGTGTTTTTCCGTGAACAATATATCTTAGGCCTCTTTCCACATCAGAACTTTTAGATCTCATTTTTTTCATTGTAAAATATATGTAACACCAAATTTACCATTTTTTTTAAAGATTTTATTTACTTATGAGAATACACAGAGAGGAGAGAAAGAGGCAGAGACACAGGCAGAGGGAGAAGCAGGTTCCATGCAGGAAGCCCGATGTGGGACTCGATTTCGGGTCTCCAGGATCACGCCCTGGGCCGAAGGCGGCGCTAAACCGCTGAGCCACCCGGGCTGCCCAAAATTTACCATTTTTAAGTTACAGATTTTAGTGGTCTTAAGTGCATTCACATTGTTGAGCAGCTGTCACCACCATCCACCTTCAGAACTTTTTCCATCTTCCCAAACTGAAGCTCTGTACCCATTAAACCCTTACTCTGCCCTCAGCCTTCTCCCAGCCCCTGGTAACCACCACCCTCTCCTTGCTGTCTGTAAATTTGAATCCTCTGAGTATCTCATGTACTCTTTTTTATTTTATTCTTTTATGACTGGCTTATTTCACTTAGCATAATGCCCTCAGCGTTCACCCATGTGGTAGCATCTGTCTCATTTTTTTCTTCCCACTGTTATTATGGAAATTTCAAAAATACCGAAAAGGTAAAAAAATGCTGTAATGAACACCTGTATGCACACTACCAGGGTTCATCATACCTCATCTTTTTAACAAAACATGTGCTTTTATGCTTATTTTGTGGTGACCTCCAGCTTTTTAATACAAGCAGCACTGCTTCTGGAAAATAGGCCTGGAACTCCCCCATGCTCAACTCCGTTCACCCACCCTGGACTCCACAGCATTTGCTACACTAATGTTAACTGTCACCCCTGCTGGATGGGGACTTCTTCTGGGTAGTGGCAGTGTCTGCTGTGTGTGCATTTCTTTTGCTTGTCATGGTACCTGGCATGTGGCAAGTGAAGAATGAGGAAGGGAGGAAAGGCATAAAGGATGAAAGTAAGAAATGAGTTCAGGCTGGAGGAAGTGTTATCAGTCTGAAGATAATAATTAAAGTCAGGAGATAAACTTACAAAAATAGGACTTATTTGCAGTTAAAATGGATTTCTCCTGATTCTCAGTCCACCAAATATCTTCAATTATTGGAGAGCAATTTAGATTGCATACTACACACATCATTGATTTAACATGAGCTTTGCAGGAGTGGGATGGCAGCCCCACTGAAGTTGGACAGCGCCGTTCTACAGCACTTTTCCTAGAATGTTGCTTGGGTTGTGCCCCTATCCTGGCCACTTTTAGAAACTTCCTGTTTTCTATTATATTAAGTCCAAATTCCTCCATGGCACTTTCAGGCCTTCTGTCAACTGTCCCCAACATATCCTATCCACTGTTATCTCCCATGGTTTTTGAGTGTGTAACCTTCTTTCCAAGTGAGGCCATTTGCCCCACTGCTCCGTGGACATCCTGTGCTTGACTGAAGCTCTCCTGGACAACTAGGTGTGGAGGGCAGTGGCCAAGTCTATCAGCTTTAGGTCTGAGGGCCTGGTCCAGGGCCTGGTACCTTGCAGGCACTCTCTGTGTGAATGTTCAGTGAACCAATATATTCTCTCTTAGAATGTAGCTCTCCAAATATTCTCCATTCTTAAAGGCCCCCTTCTCCACAAAGCTTTCCTGACCTCTCTAGATCTGTTTGTTTACTCTGAATTTCAACATCATCCATCCATCCATCCATCCATCCATCCATCCATCCAACAGGTATAAAGTGCCTACCATATGGGATGCACTGGGAATATTTTGGTGAATAAAACAAACATGGTGTGGTTCTTTCCCACTGGAGCTTACCTTCTAGTGGGGATATGGGCAATAAACAGGTAAACAAGCAAATAAAGATCTGGTTATAAGTAGAATGTCATAGAAGCTAAGACTGAAGACTGAGGAGCCAGCCATGCACAGGGTATACCTTAGAGTCTCCCTGTACAGATTGGCAGTTGTTCCTTCTCCTGAATTTAATCTTGTGCTGTTGTTTGGTATGCATTAGCTTGTCCCTTCAACTAGATTGTCAGCTGCCTATGACCTGAGACCATTTTGCTGTGTCTCTGTGTTCTCAGCATCAGGGTAAGCACATCATGGTGTCAAAATCAGTCTTCTGAGTGAGACTGCCACTCCAAACCCTTAACCATACCCAGGACTCTCAAGGCACAGGCTTCTTCTCAATTACTCTAGACCTAGGTTTCCCAGTCTCCTGAAGCATGCTTTTCTGTGTCGTGAGGGAAAACAGGCAGGTCCCATAGTAAGTTGTGGGAAAATTGCTATGCAAACTAATATTTGGCTGCCAAACACTCTTTTTCCTTTCCTGATTTCTCTCTCAGAACCAGTCTCCCATTTGTTTTCACTGACTCATAGCAGTTGGGTGGAAAGAAGGCCGAAGTGTTGGGTTCATTGATTTATTTAGCCATTTTTATCCCCCACCCACCCCCACCCCCGCCGCCCTGTACTCTGCGTTAGGTACTGCATCGTAAATAGAGCTAGTTGGGCATCATCCCTTAAACTCATCAATTAGCTAGATAACCTCCAAGCCTCTGTGTACTTATCTTTCAAATGGGGATAATAATATCTATTCTTGGCATACGTAGTCATCAGGAGCCAGGTGTGTGAAAGAACTCTGACAGCCTGGAATAGTCAGGTGTTATCACTGTTAATCTGAGTCCTGAGTCATCCTTTTCTTTTTGACTGATTATGGACTTGCCCCTTTCCAGCCATCTCACCCATTGCTAGGGGTGCCTATTTGCAGCAGGCCATGGCTCCCATGGCTTTTGCTGTCCTGTGCTCTATTGCTCATTCTCTAGGTCCTCATGACACCCGCTCCCACTCCTGTTCCTTTCCATGTAGCACATGTGGGTCGCTGCCAGCAGCACTCCAGTTTGTGCCCAGGGCACTTCAGACACAGGCAGGCTGTTGTGTTAGCAAATAGCTTGGAGAATGGTGATGTGCCTGAGCTTGTTCTTGGGCCCTGTCCCCATCTGCCAGAAGAAGCTGATTTTCCTGACTCAGCCATTATACCAGCACAGCCTCTTAAGCTGGGGAATTACAGGGATGTTTAGCAGGGGGCATTTGGAATAGGTTGAATGTTTTTCCACCAAACTGTCAGTACCCCATCCTGGATTTGGCCCTTCCTGGCAGAAAGCCTAAAGTCAGACCTCAGATGCCACCATGTCCCAGAGGCCAGCCCACAACATCACACTGAAGACATGATCTGGGGTCTTCGTATAATGCTTTGCCACTTATAGAACCTGTCTTGGCTATTATCTCTGAATTCTCACAACAGTGCTGTGGGATGGATCTTGCTGTGTTTGTTTGGCTCATGAGAAACCGAGGCTCGAGAAGGGCTGGTGGCTTTCAGCGGGCCACACAGAGCTGCCATTTGAATGTAGGTGGTCTGATTCCTAGATCTCACTGTTGATTCAACTATATCCACAGCTGCCTACCAAAGCAAGCTCCTGATCCTTGTATCTTACATACTACATTTAACAAAATACCTTTACATGATCTGACTCTTATAATGTAAAGATGCTGTGTGTAGGGCAAGCAGTTTCATCTGTTTCATAGATGAGTAGTGAATTGCCCATCATCTCTAAGCTTAGTAGCGGCAGAGCCAGGACTTGATCAGGCCTTCTGACTTCTGAGTCCCAGTCAGTGTTTTGTCTGGTCTACATGACCTTGGCACCTGGACAGTCCCTGAGGAAGCTACTCTGGACAGAGTAGCTTCTTGGGGCCTTTCCCTTCAGCCACCCTCACCCCATGAAGCCGACTCTCCCTTCTCTTTCCCTTAGAGGTCCAAGCTAGGAAATGGCCCTAGTCCAAGGCCCAGGTGCTGCTGATTAGCCTCTGTGACATTGGGCTTCTTAACATAGCCCTTTTCTGTGCTGCAAAGGACAGTATTAGGCACACACACACATAGGCTCTGTGAGCGTTCCTTTTTTGGCTCATGGCGGTCCTCCGAATGGCCTATTTCTCTACTTGAGGCCGTGTCAGCCATGATCAACCCAGAGATGGTTGACAGTGAGGCCAAGGTGCCTGTTTTCCTTCCCCATAAAGCTAGCTGCCTTGCAGATGTGTGCCCTTGGACCAGGAGAGAAGGTGCAGCCTATGCCCAAATCTGTTTCTGGGGAAAAAATACCCACCCACACTACTCCGTGCCCATTCCTTGCAGATAGCAGTAGGAGCATTGTGGCACCATTTCTCTTCCTGGCCTCATAAGTATTGCTGGGTCAAGTATGGTGCGGGAGAGTCGAGGGAGCTATGGCCTAGGAGGGCAGCCATACATGAACCCCATATCCACATTAATCTTAGCCAGTCACTTGCCCCCCCTCCCCCAACTCCCATGTCCTTCCTTTGCATAAAATGAAAAGTTTGGATCTGATGCTCTCTGAAGACCCTTTCCAGCTCTACCATGCAGCTGCCCTATTTCTTTCTTGTAGTGTCTCTAAGGCCTTTCCAGTCCAATTCTGTGGTTTCCAGCATATTCACAATATCCCCAGCTCTCTGGAAGACCAATTGTACTGTGTGTTCCAGGGGATCCTTTCAGATGACCATGGGCTGGCTGCTGCCCTCTGGAGAACCTTCTTCAACCAGAAATGTGAAGACCCTCGACAGCTTGAATTGTTGGTGGAGTATGTGAGGAAACAGGTGAGCAGCCCTACCCCTCGCCTCCAGAGGCTCATGGAAAGCAAGTCTTTCCTGAGGACTGTGGATGCTGGACTTGCAGAGGATTGGGAGAGGTTGAGTTTCCATAGGCCAATCTGAGGTTATTCTGACCATATCACGTCAGCAGCCTAGCCATGAGCTGGGGTGGCGATGGGGAATGAGATAGAAGAGGCACTGAGTAGTCTGCTCTCAAAAACTTTTAGGTAGGGATCCCTAGGTGGCGCAGCGGTTTGGCACCTGCCTTTGGCTCAGGGTGCGATCATGGAGACCCGGGATCGAATCCCATATCGGGCTCCTGGTGCATGGAGCCTGCTTCTCCCTCTGCCTGTGTCTCTGCCTCTCTCTCTCTCTCTCTCTCTCTGTGACTATCATAAATAAATAAATTTAAAAAAAATAAAAAAAAAACTTTTAGGCGTTCATTCACTACACCTTTGATTGCCTGTTATGTGCCCAGTGCTCTATGAGACCCCAGGGACACACAGTCCTGTAGGCTATGGGAATGGGGTACAGTGCAGTCACCCGCTGTAACCCCCTCTGTCCCCACTTTGAAGCTCCAAGGCTCATGTTTCCCACTCCTGATTTCTAGCAGGACCAGACTCCAGGCAGCATTCCACAGTCATCCCTCGAGCCTCTTCCCACGCCTCATTCCCCAACCTCCTCTTCCCCCAAGGCTCCGTGACACTAAAACTTCTAATAGAAAACTCCAGTGTGAGGACTGCTTAACTACATAGTTTTCCTCGAAACCATGGCTTCACTTTTTTTTTTTTCATGGCTTCACTTCTTGATCTCTCTGTCCCCTGATCCTGTACTGATGGGAAACCCATACCTTATAGATGAGTGAACTGAGTGACAGGGAACAGGAACATAAGGGCTTTTCCAGGGTCTCCCATGAGTCAGATGGCACAGCTGGCCTACAACCCCAAGCTGGTGATTCATGTAGCCACTAGAGGCCATAGCTGCTCCAGACAGCTCATCAGCTCAGGCTGTCCCATGAGTCACACCTTTGCTTCTTGGGCTTGGGCCTGGCCCTGGAGCTGAAGGGGCCTCACCCCAGTTATTCTCTTATTCACCTGTATCCACAGCCTTCAAGCCTTCAGCAGCCAGGAAGGGGAAGGCCAGGCCCTGGCTCTGGGGGAGAAGACAGAAGATCAACAGCTTGTTGATCGCTAGAAAAATCACACAGTGGGGCTCTTCAGACCCAGACGGTAGAGAACCCCCAGAAGCCAGGACTTCTGTTTGACTATTCTTCAAATCTGACAGAGCTGGGAGAAGGCACTGTGGCCAGAGGGCTCCACCCACAGAGAACTCTTGAGACTCACACTGTTGACTGGACTCATCGTCAGACACAAGTAGCAGTTGGCAAAGCAAATGCTGAGTTTTTTGAGAGACCAGCTTAACTTTTCCATCTGCCATGGTGGGCTTGTGCCAGGGGCCACAACAAGGGCATAGCTGGGACCTCTCTGAGGGCCCTAAAACAAGGGACTGCACACCAGGGCCCCTAGAAGTCCCATATTGTCCAATGAGAGGCAGGCAATAGAAAAACAGTGATGGGGCTCTTAAGGAATCAGGGAGCTTTGATGGGGACCCAGTCCTGTCAGCAAAACATCTGAATATCTGTTGTGCCAGGCACTCTGTTGAGGAAGTAGAAATTCATAGGACCCAGACCTGTCCTTGAGCCAGCTCATGGTTTAGCGATGAAGCCAGTCAGGCACAAGGCTAACCCTGGAATAAGTCAGTTTGTGATGTGATACAGGTAGAAACAAAGTGCTGTGGAAGGCCAAAGAAAAGCAAGACTAAGTATGAGTGCACTGCTCGGGAAACCAAAGAAGCTGGGTCCTGAGCAGACTAGTTTTGCACCATAATCCTAGTTGGCTTGGTGGGTAGCCCAAGACCCAGTCAGAGGTTATGGTGAGATTCCCAGCGCAGAAGATGGACAAGTGGGGGACAGAAATAGAGTTGTTGGAAAGAGGAGTGTATTTTAGGGAAGGTAATAGGTCAGTTGCTCTCCTTGCTCTGGAAGACAACAGGACATGTGGAGATCTAGACCTGAGGTATCTGTGAGAGATAAGTTGAGTTCAGGGGTCAGCAGCCTGAAGGTGAAACAATAGGAGTGAAGGAATTCTTGGAAGAGGGAGATGATCCAGGGACTAAGACGAGGCCTCCAGATTCCTGTCCCTTTCCTTTCTCCCTAGTGCCTTCTCACGCCACAATGGAGCCTCATCTCTCTGAATCCAGTGCTCTCACTCCTGATGTGATACACATCTCCCCTTGATAGCATTTCTCATTCTGCTGTCCTCCTTACTAGCAGCAGCCTGGGGAGGATTTCCCAGAGACCACCTTCATCTCCTGAGACTTGGCCACTCATTAGATCACCTGCCTCTTGCAGAACTACCCAAATCTCACCTTCTCCGCAGCTATTCCCCATTCTCCCATCACAGGAGTCGCTTCTCCGCTTGCTGTTCAGGAGGTGAAGCTGGGCCCACTGGCCAGCATGGTGGTCCACTAATCGTGGGCTTGGGGCTCAGTAGAGAACATTAGGGACATACATAGTTAAAATTTAAAAAGTGCCAGTGACTAGCAGTGTACATATGTTGTATCATTTAATCTTTTCATGAGTCCTGTGGGGTGCATGTAACTGTCCCTCTCTCAGACAAGGAAACTTATATCTCAGAAAAGGGAATTGGCTCACCTTGAATACCAACCCTGCCCTGAACAGACAGATAAAACACACACACACACACATCCCAAGGACATGTCTCCCCAGTACATCCTCCCTAGAAAGTTCTTGCAGTCCAGAAAATCAGGGCATATATGTCTGTCTATCTGGAGGTATGATGGGGAGTTCCCTTAAACCTTTCTAATGAGCTTCCCCGGTGATGTGTTTCTCCCAACCCACTTTAATGAAATAATCTGGGAGATCAGAGATCTGCTGTGCTGGGACCTGGGACGGGCAGGTCCCCTCCACAAACCTCCCCCCGCCCACCATCCTCTCCATTGGAAGGCTGGTTCCGTATGACATCTTATGTCTCTCCTGCCCTTGTCCCTGTCTTGTTTCCTGCTCTCCCTGTTGCAGATGCAGTACCTGGACTCCATGAATGGGGAGGATCTGCTTCTGACAGGGGAGGTGAGCTGGCGCCCTCTCGTGGAGAAGAATCCTCAGAGCATCCTGAAGCCCCATTCCCCAACTTATAACGACGAGGGTCTTTGATGGGCTGATGCCTCTGAACAGCTGGCCAGCTGGCTTTGAGGAACTGCCAGGAGAGAGGTGCTGGTTTGGCCCAGAACCCTGCAGAAAGTGGCCTGAACTGACCTTCAAACAGCATCTGTCAAATATCTGGCCCCATTTGTGTTGATTTTCCTCTTAGTATGCCCAGAAGTCTGATCTGGTGGACTATAGTGCTGGGAGAACCCTTAGCTCTTCTGAGGAATCCTCCCCCTCAGGAGAAGCCTGGAGCAAGAGCTTTCCAGCACACACTCCCCTGGTCCCTCCAGCAACTATGTGATTGACAACTTTTCCTAAAGGCCCCAGAGAGTTTGGGATAGGTTAGAAAGGGGACACTTCCACCAAGGGCCCGCTGTGGCCGAGGGGCAGTTTGGAATGCTGCTGAGTCAAGACGGGTAACCATGCTCTGTCCTCTGGCTTTGAGCCATGGGGTTGAGTTGGCCATTAAAAGAAACAGAGACTTATCTCTGCCATGGCTCTTCTTTATTCCGGGGTTTTTAGAAACTTAGATGGAAGTTGCCATAAGTTGAGGACCCCACCCAGCTCAGTTAGAGACAGGGAGGGCAAGAGGTCAGGAAGGTCTCTGCTACTGCTCTTATCTCCAGTTCATGGAGATGTCACTGTTATGTCCAAGGCATAGCCTGCCAGGCTCCATCCTCTGGGACCCAGGAGGCCTCTGATGGCCAAGGGGCTTGTCACATCCTGAGTCATTTGGAAAGAAGTTCCAAGAACATCTTTTTGTCACTTCCCCACTGAACAGGGTGAGGAACATGCTGTCTTTCCTCTCTTGACTCCCTTTACATGAGATACTGGGGAGAAGAGGAGAAAATTATTTCTTAGTTGTACCATCCCAGGGCCCAGCCCGTGCCCAGGTTTCTAATCCCATCCCAACTTCTGGAGCATGTGCTGCAGAGTCAGCTCAGTCTGTGCACTTGAATCAGTCCCCTCCTTCCTGAGTATGGGTCATTTCTTGGGGAATTTTCTTTGCATTGAAGAAAGGGGGCGGGGAACCATATTGCCCCTCCTTCCCCCATCAAACTTCCTTCATTTTAACTTGCTATAAAATGAGTCATATAAAGAAATTCTATATGGGTGAGGTATATCCCACTTCTGTGAAAACATTACAAATCAGACCGCCTTCTCTGAGTTTATTTAAGATGCTTTTGTTGCAAGCAGAGTTCTAGAGTGAAGCCCCCTCTGTGTGTGTGAGATAGTAACACCTTGTAACTCATTACAGCTGGGCACTATTTACATAAACCAGAGCTGAGCCAGGCAGGAATTTGCTGATTAATTTATTTTTAATGGAGTGAAGTATACCATGTACCAAAATAAACTTTACTGTGTGTACCTAACTGCTCCTGGAATGGATGGAAAAATTAATGGAACAGATTTTGGCTCCCAACTCCACACATTAATTCATATATAAAAGTTATTTGAGCCTTAACCCATTTGCTGCCCAGGGCAGCTCCCCAGCCACAGATCCCAGCCCACAGCACCAGTTCAGCTACTGGGCTTGCTTGAGAATCACAGAATTGCAGATTTTTTTTTAAAGATTTTATTTATTTATTCATGATAGTCACATAGAGAGAGAGGCAGAGACATAGGCAGAGGGAGAAGCAGGCTCCATGCAGGGAGCCCGACGTGGGATTCGATCCCGGGTCTCCAGGATCGTGCCCTGGGCCAAAGGCAGGCGCTAAACCGCTGCGCCACCCAGGGATCCCCCAGAATTGCAGATTTAGAAGAAACTTTAGAGGTTAGTCCTCTAAGCTGAACTTAGTCCAGCTCAGTTCCTGAACTTGACTCCTCTTCTCAGCATCTCAGCTGGCCTATGTCCATACAGGCCGTTTATGAATACCTCTGCCTGCAGAGCCAAATCCTGTCTCCATAACCTGAGTAATCATCAAACGGTGCAACTTGCAATATGGAGCTGCCTTTTAGAGAGCTGAATTGTATCTATCAGGTGGGGAATGTCCCAAAGCCCTCAATTCCAGCTGTCAGCATCTTTCACCCACTACACACCCCCTTGCCTTTCAAGATAAAATCCAGGTCCCTGGAGGCTGCAAGGCTCTTCTTAATTTGACCTGTGTTTGTTTCTGAGTCTCTAATTCATTTTTGCTCTGAGCAAACTGAACTGCTTAGGGTCACCTGAAAAGATCACCCTGTATGTTTCCTCCACCTGGCATCCTCGCTTCCCCTTCTGACTAGCTCAAATACCCACCCCCGTTACGTCTTGTCTGCCCCAGGTGGAAACTATTATTTTTTATACCCACTCTCCATCCTGCATTGTGAGCTCCTTCAGAGTGGGCACTGTGTTTGGGTCAATTGCCTTTGTTTTTCTAGTGCCCTAGGAGTGCCTGGCTCACAGTAGGCATCAGTATAAACTTTGACAAATGGAAGAAGGAATGAATAATTAGATCATCAGTCATTATCAGTACAAGCCCTATGAAAAAATCCCTTTCTGGATCATTCTCTGACCTTATTTTAGCAGCTCAGTATGAAGTACCTCCATTGACCTTTGCATAGTAATGAAAGCTAAATGTTCATTCTGTAGCTACTTTTTTCTTTAACTCTCTCTTTTTTAAGTAGTCTTTACACCAACATCGGGGTTGAACTCGGCGACCCTGAGACCAAGAGTCACGAGTCACATGCTCCACTGCCTGGGCCAGCAAGGTGCCCCTCTAGCTACATATATTTCTACTGTAAGTTGTTATTATACAAAACAAGTGAAGGATATTTCTTGCCCTCAGGAGATTGCTCTTTAGAAATAATTGTAATTTATTTATATTCTGTATACTTCCATAAAGGATCACAGCAAGTTAAAAGACACTGTTCTAATAAAACTGCAAAGTGATTAAAACAAAATTTAAGGGGATCCCTGGGTGGCTCAGCGGTTTGGCGCCTGCTTTTGGCCCAGGGCGTCATCCTGGAGTCCTGGGATCGAGTCCCGCATCAGGCTCTCAGCATGGAGCCTGCTTCTCCCTCCTCCTGTGTCTCTGCCTCTCTCTTTCTCTCTGTGTCTATCAGAAATAAAAATAAATAAATCTTTAAAAAAAAAACAAAATTTAAAAGATAAGATGCAAGTATTAGGAAGTGGGGGGAGAGAAGTAATCATGTCAGAAAACCTATACTGCTAATAACCAACTTTCACAGGATTTTTGGGGTAATTTATAAAGTAGTTTTAACACATTGTCTCACAGCAGTCCTGTAAAATAGGTATCCTCATCGTTCTTACCGCTTTTCCATGGGTGAGGGACTAAGGCTCACGTCATCTGGGCACAGGAAGAACCCGCTCAGAGTGCCCCGTTTCCATCTTCCAACCCCGGGCCCTTGCTCTCTCCCCATCCCACACTGCCCCCCACAGGCCAGTGAGGAAATCTGCAACTGAGTGTAAAACCTTGCTCTGAGCTTCCTGGGAGCCAAAGGCAGAAATGGGAGTCAAGGTTCTAAGAATCTTGTTTCATAAAAGGAAGTATACTTATTCATCAGAAGAAAGAAATGTTTCAGAGAAGAATATATTACAGGGGTTTTAAACGAGATACACCGAACAATGCAGTGAATAGTACCTCTAAGATTGCAGTTTTGCCCAAAAGTTTGAGAACTGTAAGTAATTGCTGTTTCTTACATCAAGCTGAGATTAAAGCCAAGGCCCCAGTTGAGCTGGATTTTTTTTTTTCGTTTCTGTTCTGTATTAGACACTGCTTAGTATTTTTACTTGCTATCTCTTAATCTTCAGTGACAAATCTGTGGTGGTATTAAATTCCTGTTACCATTGAGGGAAACCACATGAAGCTCAGGGTGGCCCAAACTGACTCTGCATGCAAACTCAAGTGGTTCTGAGACCAAGTCCAATGCATTTAGTTTTAGAGAAGTACCAAATGGGGAAAGGGGCTGTTGTGCCACAGTTAAAAAGTAATAGGAAGCCTTAATTAATATTCCAGCTGCATGGGCTTGTGTGGACAGATTCCCAAACTAACAGGAAAAATCAGAACAAGGGGGTTAGACATCAGAAAAGCCCTGAAGGGAGTCAGGACATAAAAGGAGGGACAAAGTTTAGGAAGGTGGAAAGAAAAACAGGAAATGAGCTACCTAGAGGAAGGCACGGAATAGGAAGCTTCTTCAGACTCAAGTGGACCAGCTGAGTGGTTTGTTAAAGGCAGATAAAGGTTGCAGAGAGCCTAGTGGGGGACAGCCTGGGTAATGCTGCACCTGGTAGGCATTCTGGGTAAGGACTGTGACCCTCTGGGAGTGAAGATGTACAGCAGTGTGCAAGGTAGACTGGCTCAGTCAAGAACTAGCCATCTAGGTTTGGGAGCCTGGGGGGTGATTGTAGGGATTCAAAGGGAAGCTCAAACCCCAGAGATGTTTCAGAGAAATCATGAAGACTTGATGCCTCCTGGCATGTGGAGCCTGAAGAGAGCAGCCTAGAGCTCTCCTGGGAACAGGGGATGGCGAAGTCAGGCAGAAGAGGGAAGCTCAAAGAGAAGAATCCTCTGTAGTGTTTTTTTTTTCCAAGTGCTAATTATATTATGGGATAGACAGGGCAGGGATTATTGCCCCATCATGCAATAGGAGGACAGGTCCACTGATAAGCAGCCACAAATTGATGCAAGGTGACCCTGTGGCAAAGCCAAACAATCTCCTGTCTTTTGAACCCTACTCCATTGCTTTTGGTGTATGTAGGTTATATCTGTATGGGAACCAGTCTGGTGTAAGGTGCTTCAGGGAAGGCAAGAGAGGGGCTGGACTTCAGGGGATGATTAGGAGGGGGGTCTTTAAGGGCTTTGGTCTTGTCTTGGGTGTAGTGTAGAAGGGGCACTTGAAATCATGAAAATGGATGAGCTTCCAGAGGTGAAATGTAGGGGGTGAAATGACCCACTACCAGTCAGCGACTGGGGTGGGTGTGGGAGAAAGCATTCCAGGGTGGGGTGGGGTGGGGCAGGTGGTAGCAGGTGTTGGGGAGGGAGGAGTAGGAAAAGTAGGAACTATGGTAGGAAGTAGAGGCTGGAGTAGAAGTCAGGGGAGAGGAGAGCTTCTAGAAGGAGGAGGTTCTTAATGCTGCATCCTGCAGAGTAGAGGCCAGGGAGTAAGTGAATGAGGCTTAAGGGCTTTAGAGATTGTGAAGAGTTAAGAAAGGGTATGGCAGCAGCTGTGATATCTTGGTATGTGGCTAGCTGAAAAGAAATGGAGAAAAATTGGGCAGGAGTTAGGAGAGTAGGGTAAGAAGGTGTTTTCAGCACAGAAAAGAATAGGGTAAGAACTAAGGTGTTTTCAGCACAGAAAAAAGCTGAAGATGCACATGGGGGTGAGAGGGAGCCTGATTAAATGTAAAGCACTCAGTGGAGTAGGAAACTTCCCTGTAAACGTTAGGAATTATTAGATCCCTCTGGACATGGGACCCTGGTCTTGAGAGCAAGGGCCTGCCTTTGGAGGGGAGGAGGGAACTCTTTTCTGAAACCAGAGATTGGAATATAGACGGGGACAAAGGGTTTCTGAGGTGAGGGCTGAGAGGGAAAGGCCAGCCCTTTCTGGTCTCGGTGCCCAGGAAACCTAGACTTATCAGCTATTGGGGTGAAGGGGGAAGGAAGGGGGAGCCTGGCAAGTTTGTGGACAGAGAATGAGATAGTCACAAAATGTTTGAACTCTTCCCTTGGGAGCAGTCCTCCTGTACTTGTTGCCCTGTTTCTATCCACTTCTAGCCTTCCCACAGCATCCCACTATGGCTTGCCCACCCCCACCACTGGGTTTGGCCTTAGGGAGGGGTAAACCAGACCCCAGGCCCCCCAGCCATGATCCTCTACCCACTCACCCTTGCTCCAGTGTTAACCACCCATCACAAGTAATCTGTGGCTTCCAGGAGACTTCCCCTGAGCCACGCTGGTGAGCCTAGGACCTGACATTACAGGTCAGGTCCTAGAGATCCTAACTGGAGAAGTCCCAGGAAGGGAGGCTTCCAGTACTGACTTGTAATGTTAAGAAGTGATGGGGGAAAAAACAAAAGGTAATGGAATATGTGAGTGCTAGAAGAGACTTGGAGACCTCCAACACAGCCTTCTTACTTTACACATGAGAGGCTGAGGTCCTGAGAGGCTGACTCAAGGTTTCAGAGTTGCAAACCAGAACCATAGGTCTTGCTGGCTTGTTTCTTTCCTAGTTTTCTCTCTCCTTGTGACCAGAAATGGCTCCTTCACCTCCCAGTCACCATCTGAGAAAAAGCCTGCCTCAGGGCTGTACACTAGTTGAGGACAGGGGAATGGAGACATGGTTCCTCTAAGGTTCCAGATTGGGTCATGAGCTCTAAACCCCAAAGCACTTGGTTTATACGTTGGTTTAACCTGTGGCTTATAATTATTTATGAGTCTGCCTTCCCCACTAAACTGCGAGTTCCTCCAGGGCAGAGACCAAGTCTTACTCATTTTTGTGACCACAGTCCTGGCCTAAAGGAGGCACTAAATACATGTTGGGTAAACTGGATGGACTGGGGGGAGGGGGTGTGTGTGCTGGATAGGTTGGGGAGGGTGAGGTAGCTGGACCAATAATGTTGGGGGCTTAAGAGATCACCAGATAATTCCTCCTTCTCTCAGTTCAAAATAAATTGAGAAATAAGACATAAAAGACAGACATGAAAAAGTGGTTTTACCAGTATTTCTGACAAAGCTGATTAGAGAATGTGGCCAAATGTGCTTGTTAATGATCTAAAATGTGGGGCACCTGGGTGGCTCAGTCAGTTGAGCATCTGACTTGATTTCAGCTCAGGTCACGATCTCGGGATTGCGCGATTGAGCCCACATAAGGCTCCACACTCAGCTAGGAGTCTGCTTCTCTCCTTACTCTATCTGTCCTTCCCCTGGCTCTTGTGCATATGCGCTTTCTCTAAAATGAATAAATAAATCTTAAAAAAAAATAATCTCCTAAAATTAACCATGCTCACCTCCACCCCCAAAAAGAGCAGACCTCTCACTCCCTGGTACAGGGGCAGAACTTCATCTGGAAGTTTACCATGTAGATCAATGAAGAATATGCTACCTTTGCTACAACAGAACCAAAAAAGAGAGGGGGGTCGGTGGAAAGATTCAGCCCAGCTCCTTCTAAGCCACCAATCAGACAAGCCTCCTCCCTTGGAAAGGAAGGGTGAGTGAAGAGAAAAGAGGGGGGTGGTCTCACATTTCACCCTCAAGGAAAGTAGAGTGGGAATTCCTTTCCTGTATGGAAACATTAGTGAGGACAAATCTCCCACCATTAGATGGAATGAGGTGGATGAATGGGTAGAAGGGAGGTTGAGTGAAGGGAAAACCCATCATCACAGTGTCTGCAGTCTACACCCCAGATACACAGCCAGCTTTCCAAAATAGAATGCTCAAATTCTCATTCTTGTGGTCTGCCTGCCAGAAGGCTCACCTGTGTGTGGAGGTGAGGAGAGGCCGTTGCCTCCTATGAGCTGTAATAAGAGGCCAAATCTCAGAGCCACAGTCCACTGACACAACCGGAGGGCCATGTTCACATTCAGGGCCAGCCTTTGGTCTAGAAAGGGCCCAAGACTGACTGGGGAGAGCTTCCCTTGTTGCTGGTTCATTTGTCTTCAGTGTCACCGAGCCCCTGCCCTTTTGTGCTTGAGAAAGCTCTAGAATCCAGCATGTACTAAACTACTGTTCCTCTCAGTCAGGCACTTGCCATAGAATAGCCCATTTATTCCTTATAAAAACCTGGTGAAGGAAATGATGTTGGTCCCATTTTACAGATTAAGCCACTGTGACTTGACTGTTGAATTTACCCATTAAGTCGCAGAGCCAGTGGGACCTCCTGAAGGCCTGTGTGGGTGCTCAAGAACAGTGAACCACACCCATCTGGGTTGTTTCTAGGAGTCTAGTGCTTTGGGCCTCTCCCCCTGGGAGGTGGGGGGAGGGCTGCTTCCTAAGTTACCCTAAAACACTGCTCTAGGAATCTTGCCAACCTTGTGCTGTCGTCCGTACAACGAGAACCAGCAACTTAGCAAGGCCCTCTCCAGTGTGGCTCCAGATGGCGTTTCCACCAGTTCTTCCTCTGCGCCACAGCCCCCATCTTCCTTCGATAATCACAGCCTCAGCCCTCTAGTCCTCCCGCTGGGAATACCCTGCTTGCCATTTTGCACACCCGCAAGTCTTTCTCATCCTTTGATTGCCAGCCCTGGGAACATTCACTGCTTCTTCCAGTGTCTCTAGCTCATATGTCACTTCACCTTGATTTAAAGGATTGGGTATACCCTGGCTCTCCTACTACCCCTGGCTGCTCCTCACAGGAGTATTGTCTCCCCTGACCCAGAAGTGCCACATAAAAGGTGTGTGGCAGTGTTGGCATCAGAGCAGCCTGCAACTGAAGGGCTGCAGCTCAACCTTTGCTCCTACTGTCCCCACATGACAGTCACCTGCCCAGGTACCACTTGGCTTATAAGAGACAACAGACAGGGCTAAGTGCCCCCCCAGGATGGCAGAATGATGCCCAGCAGGCGCTGACACATCTCCTGGACATGACATCTTTATTCCTTTTAATAACACTTATTAAGGGGCCTGTGCCAACACACTGCAGTGAGGGGCTGGGCTTTGCTATCTGTATGGCTCATATCGCACTGGGTCTCCACCCCTAGGCCCAGCCCCAAGGCCAGGATACATCGGTTGTTTGTATTGGCCTTGCATTGCCCTTTACCGTTCAGCCCATAGAAGCAGCAGCCAGTCTTGCAACCTGGGGAATTTGATTTGATTTACACACTTTTGTGATCAGGACATCAGGGATACCTTAGAGCCTTTTCCACTTCAGTTCAGTCTGCCCATCCCTGCTTCCTCAGTTGATCTCCTTGTATACACACCCAGTACTGCACTCCAGAGTTAAGGTCAAAGACTTCCGAGGCTGCCCAGACACTCATGCACACAAATAGATCTGTACCCAGACATGCACACAAGTATACCTAGACACATGCATACTTTGGTAAGCATACACTGATATAGGATTATTTAGACAGCCAGGCAGACATACAAACATCACAGATAGTATGTTCATGTACATACATGCACAGGTAGTTCTGCATGGGCATGTGTAGGTACATTGAGTTGAGCCATATGAAATTACTAGTATTCAGTGTTGTTTTCTTCTAAAAATAGAATCTAGAAGTGCCTGGCTAACTCAGTTGGTAGAGCATGCGATTCCTGATCTCAGGGTTGTGAGTTCAAGTCCCACACTGGTGTAGAACTTATTTAAAAAAGGGGGCACCTGGGTAGCTCAGTTGGTTAAGTGTCTGCCCTCAGCTCAGGTCATGATCCTGGGGTCCTAGGATCAAGCCCCGCATCAGGCTCTCTGCTCAGTGAGGCGTCTGCTTGTCCCTCTCTCTTTGTCCTTTCCCCCTATGTGTGCTCTCTCTCAAATAAAATCTTAGAGAATCTGGGCAGCCCCAGTGGTGCAGCAGTTTAGCACCGCCTGCAGCCCAGGGTGTGATCCTGGAGACCCGGGATCAAGTCCCACATCAGGCTCCTTGCATGGAGCCTGCTTCTCCCTCTGCCTGTGTCTCTGCCTCTCTCTCTCTCTGTGTGTGGTTCTCATGAATAAATAAATAAATAAATAAATAAATAAATAAATAAATAAATAAATAAATAAATCTTTTAAAAAAATCTTAGAGAATCTAATACAAAGTGGGCATGGAGAGAAATATAAAAAAATCTAGAGCCAAATTTGTACACTCCTGTTTAAGCAGCATTATTCACAATAGCCAAAAAGTGGAAACAACCCAGGTGTCCATTAGTGGAAGAATGGATAAGCAATGAGGTATATACACACAATAGAATATTCAGCCTTAAAAAGGAAGGAAATTCTGACTCATGCTCCCACATGGATGAACCTGGAGGACACTGTGCTAAGTAAAATATGTTAGTCATTAAAAGATGAATACTGTTTGATTCCACTTACATGAGATGCTTAGAGTGGTCATATTTATAGAGTCAGAAAGTAGAGTGGTGGTTACAAGAGGCTGGGGGAGAGCTGTTGTTTAATTAAGGGTACAGAGTTTCGACTGAGGAAGATGAAAAAGTTCTGGAGATGGATGGTGGTGATTGTTGCACAACAATATGAATGTACTTAATTATACTGAACTGTATACTTAAAAATGGTTAAGATGGTAAACTTTATATGTATTTTGCCACAATTAAAAATGATTTTTAAAAAGATAGCCGAAAATATATATCATCAGATAGATGTGTAAATACTGAGGGATAAACAGGAACACAACAACGCAGGAAACATGCTGCCTCCCCTCCCAGGAGCACATCTCCAACCCAGATAAGGCCCTGGTTCTCCTGCTAAACAAATCTGGAGATAAGGCCCTAATGAAGGCCCTGCCTCCTTGGATATCCCCACAGCTCATTACCCTCCCACAGTCTGGGTCTGCTTATTCAACCTCCTGCCCCTCATGCAGCCTCCCCTCCCCTAGGGAAGGGCCTCTTTAGAGTACCCAGTGTTCTAATTTCTGCCCCTGCCCCTGGAATGCAATAGAATGGCCCAGCATTTCACCTTTTGGCCTTACCCTGACCCCCGGACTCCTCACTTCTAGGCTCCTCAAAGACAAAGCACCAGCCCATTCATCTTTGGTCCCAGGACCCAGCTCAACATGGGAACCCCTAAATCCCTCTGCCCCCTGCCATAAATGTGTTAGGCCCTGTGTGAAGCTCTGTGGACATAGGACCTGTGTTTGGTCTGAACATGATCACAGACCAGATAAAGCAAGTGCAATCAGTATGATACAAGGTTGTGAGACATGGTCTTTGGTCTCCTGCTCTCCAGGCCATCCTTATCAGAGCTCGTTTTTCCTTAGAAGGGGGACACCTTGAGCTGGCACTGTGCACCATTGTGACCACTTCTACCTGGCCTGCCTCCCTAACTAACTGCCATCCGCTGACCTCTCTTCTCCAGAAGAAATGCTTTTACTTATGCTACTGAGTACTTTGCAACTGTGGCCTTTCTTGGGGGCAAAGAACAGAAACCTGCCTGCTCTTTTTGCCTTCTGACCTTGCAGTGTGGCCCCTACATCCTCTGAAACCTTTCTTACTAACATTTAATACTCAGCCCCTGAGTTGGGGAGGAAGGCTGCGGTGTGGCCCACACAAGGCCAAGAGCTTCCCTGGAGTTGAAGGTGTTAGAAACATAGCTATCTGGAACAGCATTTCTCCGGGGTGGGCCTTGGCCCACTGCCCCCTGTGCACTGGGGTATGTATAAAAAGCAGGGTCCAGAAACCTACTCAGATTTCTGGATTTGAATCTCAGATACGTGGAGCCTGGAGATCTGCATTTTAACTCTTCCCGGCTATTCTCGGGGCCTAGGGTGAAAGCCACTGCTCTAGATCCTTGGAGGATGGGCTCAGAGCCAGGGTGGGGCTTGGGCAGGGAACTGTGTCACAGTTATGGAGGTAGAGAGTGGCAGAGCCACTATGGGAGCAGAGAGGCCCAGATGGGGTCAGATAGGTGATGATGTCCTTGACAGTTCTGTGTGACACTCTGTTGAGTTCTTACTTAGGGCCTGTGTGCAGGTTGTGCCAAGGTTTGTGATATCCACCATGGTTTGGGGTTATGGTTAGTCTCTGAATTAGCATTTGAATCTGCTTACATGAATTTAATCAAAATGTGTGGTCTGCATATGTCAGCCTATGCTCTATGTCTATGTGTCAACTGTCAGTATGTCAGCCTGTCTGCTTGTGTTTTCACATCTTTATCTCCCATGTCTTGAGTCATTTATCCACTCTGGTGTATATGTGTGTGCATACTTGTGTGTGTGTGTGTGTGTGTGTGTGTGCATTTGTGTCCCTGAGCAGGCCTGGGTCCCTCTGGACCATAAGCCAACCTCCATGGGGGCTCTGGAAGGTCAGGGTTTGGAGGGAACTTGTTCCAAGCCTGGTGGGGATGGGGCAGGTGATGCTGGGGTGGGGCAGGGTGGGGGGTGGGGGCAAGAGTGTGTGCTAAGGGCCTAGCACCACCATTTCCCTGGGCGGGCGAGTCTCAACAGCAGGCAGACAGGTGAGGCTGACCTGACAAGTTCTAGAGGCCAGGGGCAATGGGGCGGAGCATGGCTCTGACTTAGGGTGGCAACAGGTTGGGGGCCCTGGCACATTCAGGGCCGGTAGGCAGGCAGACGGTGGTTCTACTGGTGTCTCTCTTACTGCAGCCAACCCTATGCAGGCCATGGAGCCTGCGGGAGGGTGAGGACAGCCAGGTGGGCAGGCATGTTTGGAAGCCTAGGGCCGGGGGACTTGGGAGCCCAGGGCATGGCAGGACCCCTGAGGGGCCGGGTGGAGGAGCTAAAGAGGCCATGGTGGCGGGAGGCCTCACCATTGGTACTCCAGCACAGTGAGGCTGCTAGGCTGGCAGCTGATGCCCTCCTGGAGCGGGGCAAAGCTGCCTACTTGCAGGTCATCTCTGAGGAGCAGGAGCTGCCCTTCCTGAGTGCTCTGGATGTGGACTACATGACCAGCCATGTGCATGGGAGCCCTGAGCTCAATGAGGCCCAGGGATTGGATGCCTCAGGGCCTGACCGCCTCAGCCTGCTCTCTGAAGTCACTTCAGGCACTTACTTTCCCATGGCCTCCGACATAGAGCCCCCAGACCTGGACTTGGGCTGGCCTGAGGTTCCACAGGCCACGGGCTTCAGCCCCACCCAGGCTGTTGTCCACTTCCAGCGGGACAAGGCCAAGAACATCAAGGACCTTCTGCGTTTTCTCTTCAGCCAGGCCCGCACGGTAAGGACTTTATCTCTTCAGGCATTCATTTCACAGATGTGGAAACTGAAGCCCATGGAGGGAAGGGGAACAACCCAAGGCCATACAGCAGTTTAGGGGCAGCATTGGGAGTAGAACCTCTGCCCTGGAGGGTAGGTGTGTGTTTTATTTACCTTGGTAACCCCTTGACACTCAAGAACGTTAGTCTACAAACACCACAGAAATGCATGCAAAATTGTGCATATGGCAGGGAAGGATCTTCAGCATCTTTCTTGGGAGAGGGTTCTATGGCCTTCATCAGATTCTCAAAAAGGTTTATGATCCCAGACTAAGAACTCCAACCTTGGTGAACATTTGAGTCAGTTCCTTGACTTGCAGGGGAGGAAACTGAGGCCAGAGAGAGGCTAGAACTTGCTCAGGTATGTCCAGTCAGTAGGTGAAATAGAGCTCAGGGGGAGAGAAAAGGGGCCCTGACTCAGGGCTGGGTGCATGTTCGGCCCTGCCTCCTGGTGCATGTTCCCAGCTGCACCCCACCCCTTGCCTACTGCATCTCCAGCTGGGCCTGAAGCAGGAAAAGGGCACTGGTGCCTGGGCTCAGCATGGCATTTGAGGGCTGGGCTTTTAGTTTTGCACCAAAGGGAAGGGGAATGGAGGCTTCTGGGCTCAAGGATGGGGAGCATGGGCTCAGGAGAAAGAGACGCAGGAGAGCTGGTACAGGTGGTCAGTACCTGGGAAGTCTCCAGCCACAGACTAACACAGCTCTGTTCCTGAACCCTGATCTCTGACTCAAGAGGCAGGGTATGGATCAGATGACCCCAGGAAGGATTTGAGGTGAGTTAGACTCAGTGTCTTTGTCTGGGAGAGCAACCCAGAGGGTGCCTGCTGCAGAGATCAGGAGCCAGCATGCTGCGATCTCACGGGTACCTCCAGAGCCTCCCTGGTAAACCTGCCTGTGCCCCAGGCAGGGGAGGGCCAGGCCTGATTGGCACTGGGAATGGGGTTATTAGTGAGGTGGCTGCTGTCATCACTCCTGCCCCTTTGATGTTTCCTGCCTGACCTTGTTCCCCCTGTTCCTGGCCAGGCCTGTGCCAAGGAATAGGGCATCCTCCACTATACTATACCTGCACTTTGCCTCCTTATTCCCATCTAGTCCCCACCCCCACCCCCTGGGCCAGGAGCCATGCTTCCACTCTGGGCTGTCACTGACTCTCAGAGTGACCTTGGGAAGTGCTTCCTTTTCCTGTGAGCCAATATCCTTGTTTGTTAAGCAGGCAGGAGGAAAGGAACATTTATTGAGTGCCTGTCGTGTGTTGAGTATTTTCACATCTAATCACAGAATGAGGAAATATAGGTATCATTGTCCTCATTTAACAGATGAAGAGATTGAGGCCCGCAGAGGTAAAGCCACTCGCCCTGGGCCACATCACTAGGAAGTAGCAGAGTGCAGATTCGAACCCCATTCTGTCTGGCTCCAGAACTGGAGTGCTTTGCCTTGTACCTCTTGCCTCTCAGCCTGTATAAGGAGAGGCGGTTCTTACAACACATATATGCAATGGAAAGAAGGAGCAGTTGGGGGCTTGACGGTGGGAGGAGTTTTTCAGGGCTTCTCTGAGGCAGCCCATTATATGAGGAGACCACAAGCCCCAGCCCACAACTGAGCAGAAAACTGGGTTCCACCTGTCGTGGATGGAAGTGAGGGAGTCTGTGGGTATAAGATACCACACCAGACCTCTGCAGCTTCACAGGGAAACTGAGGCAGGTCTAGCAGAGGGTTTGAGGATCCCAATAACTGGCTTGTAGCTCCAATTCTTGAGGAAGGAACCTCTGACAGAGTAGGACTGGAGCTAGAGGGAGAGTATGAGGGCCTGTGCTGGGAATCGGGGTCTGGCTTCTGCTCTGACTCCCTTCCCACCCTGGGCCTCAGTCTATCCACAGATATCTTTGAGAAGCTCATGACAGATAAACACTCTGTCCTCAAAAATATGCACACTGAAACTTTCAAACATATTCTGGGTGTTCAAGACAGTGGAATCTCCCTGTGTCTAAATTAAGAACCCCTGAGCTAGGTTATTGCTAAAAGCCCTTCCAGTCCAGATGTTCTTATAGGCTCCAGCCTTCCGATTTTAAGCCCAGGTCTCTTTTACTGGGACCCCAGCTCCTACCCCTGGGCAATATCCCGGGCAGGGCTGAGTTTCCCCTACATCCCCCAGGTGGTAGCTGTGGTGATGGATGTATTCACTGACATGGAGCTTCTGTGTGACCTCATGGAGGCCTCGAGCCGGCGTGGTGTCCCCGTCTACCTGCTTCTGGCTCAGGAGCACCTAAGGCACTTCCTGGAGATGTGCTACAAGATGGACCTCAATGGGGGACACTTGCCGGTTAGTGAGGGATGGGGCAGTAACAAGGGAGTGGGGCAGGGATCAGGGAGGGCAGAAGAGTCAGTTAGGTGCCCAGGAAGCATTGGGGGTCGATGGGAGTGGGCAGCTGAGTTCCGTTAGCTGTTTAACAAAGTTAGAGACTGCATGGGATTTGGACATGGCTTGAGCCCCATTCTCTCAAGGTCACTACCCAACTTCCCTTTCTCCTTGGCCCAGAATATGCGTGTGCGGAGCACGTGTGGGGACACGTACTGCAGCAAGGCAGGCCGCCGCTTCACAGGGCAAGCCCTGGAGAAGTTTGTTGTCATCGACTGCGAGCAGGTGGTGGCAGGCAACTACAGGTGAGCATGTGGGACAGGGGGCTGCCACCAGCTGGTGAGGGCACCTGGGATCTGGCAGCTTGAACTTGCCTCCATCCACCCATCCCTTCCAACAGGGACTGAGCACCTGCCACATGCCAGGCACTGCAGGGCTCAAGGGATAGAGTGGGAAACAAGACAGCCCCAGGCAGGGCCCTGGAGGAGTTCTGTGGAAGGATTGCTTTAATGCCTTTGGCATAGAAAATGCCTATGGCACCTGAGAACTTGGGGGACTTCGGGGAATCTTGCCCCCGGTCCACTTTATAGATGGGCAAGTTGAAGCCCTGAGATGGGAAACCATGGACCCAAGTCCTCTGAGCTGAGCTTGGACAAGCACAGACTCTGAAGTCAGGGCTCTCCACTGCCCCCCCCCCCCCCGCCCCGCACCCCCCTCACTTGGGTCCTCATGGTGGTGGAGTTGTCTTGGTATGCTTCCGTGGTTGTGACCTCTGAATAGTCCCAGGGTCCTGCACTTTGCCTTCTGACCCTGACCCTCTGCCCCCAGCTTCACCTGGCTTTGCAGCCAGGCCCACACTAGCATGGTGCTGCAGCTAAGGGGCCGCATCGTGGAAGACTTTGACCGGGAGTTCCGCTGTCTGTATGCCGAGTCTCGGCCTGTGGAGGGCTTCTGTGGTGGTGAGGATCTTGTATCTCCTAGGGTACTGTGTCCTCCTCCAGTGGCCTTGGGATTTGGGCCCAGTGTGCCAAGCCCCCCCTCATCCTCACCCTCCAGCATCAGCCTCAGCAGCATCAAACGCTCACCTCTAATGGGCCACTCTTCTTATCTCGCTCCACCAGGTGGTAGTGGCCTCAGTGATACGGGTAGGGGGTCCTCATCCCTGAACCCTGCCCGCCTTGAGGCCAGTGGCCAGACCTCTCTGCAACGCCAGCTGTCAGACCCGAAGCATGCCTCCCTACTGGGGCCCTACAGGTCCAATCTAGGCAAGCTGGGGGCATCCCCATGGTCACAGTCCTCTCCTGCTCTCAACCACAATGGTCACAGCCCCTTGACCCTAGCAGTGGGGTCACCTCTGCTTGCTCGCCAACGCCCTCTCCTCCCCTTCCCCCAGGGTGTTGCCACCCTGTCCCGGGTCCCAGAGAATGGGCTCCTGGGAAGCCAGGAGTCTAACCCGCAACGAGGTCGCTGGGTACCTAGCACAACCCTGGAGACAGTGCAGGAGAAGAAGGTGTCTCTGAGTCAGAGCCATAGCCAATTGGATCTCCTTGTCCCTTTCCCCAGAGCCAGAGAAGCTGGAGACCCTGATTCTGGGGTTAACCCCAACTCAGACTCCCTCTGGCCTAGAGAGCAGGCCCCAGAGGACAGGAGGTTGTCCCCAAACCAGAGACACAACCAGCTGGATCTCCTGCCCCAGTCCCAGGGTGCTGGGAGTATCCCTGAGTCAGGTTCCCCCAGACCTGGCAATCAAACTCCAGAGGATAAGAGGCTGTCCTCAAATCACGGTCATGGCCAAATGGACCTCCTGGTACAGTACCCCAAGGCTGGGGGTTCCAGAGCATCCCCTGGAGCCAACTCCTCAGCTAGGGCTGGCAAGCAGGGTCAAGATGAGCAACGACGGACCCTGGGCCACAGCCAGCTGGACCTCATCACAAAGTTTGGCCCATTCCGAGGTGAGGGGCCTGGGCCCAGTGGTCTCCCCATACCAAGTCCTGCTCGAAAGGCTGGAGTAGGCTCTGGGGATGAGAAGCGGCTGACCTTGGGCCACAGCAAGCTGGACCTCATCACCAAGTATCATCAGTTGCAGGGCACTAGGCAAAGACCTGAGCCTGGCCTCCCTGAGGGCCCCACAGGTGGACATCACAATGGCAGTAACAATGGCCCATTTGGGGATGAGAAGCGGCTGACCCTGGGCCACAGCAAACTGGACCTCATCACTAAGTACAACAAATCCAAGTTCAAGCTGCTCCGAAGCCGCTTTGAGTCCTAGTCCTGCTCCCAGCAGGGACATATCCTTCTTCCATCTACTTGGACTCTAGGTTTACTGAGGTTCCAGACTCTAGGGTGTTCAAACAGGGGCTGCATAGGGAGCATTTAGTGTCTAGAAGCCCATATTAGACATTCATGGGGCTCAGGAGTCTTGCTTATGAACACACCTGCACACACACACACACACACACACACACAGATGGAACCCACAGTATTTGCCATTTGCCAATGTGCTGGGCACTTCACACTGGCTGATTCTCATCCTTCATCCTCACAACATCTTACAAGATAGACCTCTATTAGGTAGACATTTCTAAGGTCACAGGTATTATATTTTCTATTTTATAAATGTGGAAGCTGAGGCCCAGAGAGTTTGATGACTTGCTTGGGATCAAATCCAAGTCAATGGCAGAGCCAGGGCCCAAACCCATGTCTTTGACTCTTAAGATTGTGTTTTTGCACACCATTATCAACAGTTCACATGTCCCCATGTACACAAAATACACCACAGAGATGCCCCAAATGCCTACACAATACACTGACAGGGTTCACACTCACAGACACACACTAAGTACACAAAAGTCCGTGTGATAAACCCAAACACTCAGAATTCTAGTTATACTCAATAAATGTTATATGACTAAATGAATGGCTACACAACATATATGCATTCAGTGCACACTGTAGACCCCTCAGGATACGCAAACAATAAATATGTATATAACCACACACATACACACAGAGGCATGCACACACCAACCAGTGTCTTCTTTGATGTTAGCTGTGTACCTGGCCCTGTACTGAGCACACCACAGGACTGATAAGTGAATCAGGCGCAGTCCCTGGGAGACAAGGATTAAAAGCATAAACCATTGGCAGTCAAGATAGAACTGTATCTAAATAGAGGCTAATAGCGACAGGGTGGTAGAGAAGGGCAGAGAGTGGTGGTGGTGGTGGAGTGGTGAGCAGTTTCAAAGTGGTGAGCAGCTTTTGAGGCAGGCCTTGAAGGATGGGGAGGATTGGACAGATGGAGAAGAGGAATTCCTGGCATATGGAAGCAGATGAAAAGAGGCCAGGGAGAGGACTGGAGGAGGGGATCTGAGATGAACTGGGGATGATGTAGAGCGCATGGATACTCAGACTCTGACACGTGCACATGCATGCGTGCACACGCACACACACTCATCATCATTTTGCTGAGTGTCCCTAGAAGCACAGGCTCTGACAGGTTGTATGTTCTTTTCCTGAGCTCATCACCTGCCTGGGACAATCTACACGGTACAAATCAATAAAGGCAGACATGCTGTGACCTAGCAGCAGCCTGGTGTGTGCTGAAAAAGGTGGAGTTTTGAAGCTGCATGTTGAGGGCGGGGTAAAGGCACCATTTGGTCCAATTATGGAGGGCTCCCTGAGGGAGAGTGGATGGCTGCGGAAGGGCTAGGGGAAGGACAAGGGCTCCAGGACCCCTCTATCTTCATTGTGACTTTTTAAAAAAGTTTTTTAAAATTTATTTATTATTGAGAGACACACACACACACACACACACAGACAGAGACACAGGCAGAGGGAGAAGCAGGCTCCATGCAGGGACTCGATCCGGTGTCTCTGGGATCACACCCCGGGCTGAAGGCGGCGCTAAACCGCTAAGCCACAGGGGCTGCCCCATTGTGACTTTCTAAGAGGCCCTGGGGCATTTTGTGGATACAAAATGTAGATCAAGTTCATCTCATCGATGAGAGCAGGTCCCTTGACTGCCACCATTTATCTTGGGGGCAGAAAGTGCTGCATGTGATCAAGCACATGCAAGGGGCAACACACCATTGTCCATCTGGCCTCTCCCTAAGACCCGGTTTCATCCGTCCTCCCCTCTCTTCAATACCTTCTTCAGCCTGGTTTCTTCTACTTCAAGGGCCACGCCTCCTTCTCCAGCCTTTGTCCTGGTCTCATTTCTCCCCACTAGACACCTCCACGGGTGACCTCATCCACCCCAGGCTTCGGCCCCAAATATCAGCCCTTTACTGTCCCCTGGGCTCTAGATCTGGCCTCGACGTCTGTCTCGCACCTCACACTAGGCACGTCACCGTCCTCACCCCTGCCCTTCCTCTTAGCCTTTACTTCAACAGATACCTCCATCATCCACTCGTCAGGTATCTGCCAGACATCCCTGGCTCCTCCTCTCTTACGCCTCGCATCCGACCAGCCACAGGTCTCGGTCAGTTGTGTCTCCGAAAAAGCTCCCGAATGAATGAACGAATGAACCGAGGGATGGATGAATGAAGAGCGTGCTTGGGGCGGGGCCAAGGTGGGGTCCCGACCGGACCACTCGAGACCTTCGAGTCCTCCTAGGGGGTGGGGCTACGGTGGCCGCCTGCGTGGCCGGGTGCGCCGAGCTCTCCCGGAAGTCTCCCTGGGCGGAGGCGGAAACGGAAGCCTGCTCAGGCCCGAGCCGAAGCTGTAGCCGCGTGCGGGGGCTGCGGTCGACTGGCGAGCCGGTGTGGAGGGACGCCGGAAGGGACGGGCCCCGGCTCCCCGCGTCGCGAGTGGTAGGGGCCGGAGGATTCGGGGCTACAGAGCCCAGAAGGGCCCAGTGGGCGGGACCCGAGGTTTGAGGGGCCCAGAGGGGCGTGGTCGCAGCGGGGCCGAAGGGGCCGAGGCCGGGGAACCCGGATCCGGGGCGGGGAGAGGATCCGCGGGCCCTGAACTCCCGGTCCCGCAGCCCCTTAGGCCTCATGGCGGTCCGAGCGTCTTTCGAGAACAACTGTGAAATCGGCTGCTTTGCCAAACTCACCAACACCTACTGCCTAGTGGCCATCGGAGGGTCAGAGAACTTCTACAGGTGCGACGGGAGCGCCGGGACCCGCGGGCCAGCGGGGTGGCTGGATGGGAGGGAGGTTGCTGGGAGTCGGGGGCTCTGGCAGAGTGCGGGCTCACGCCCCCCAGCCCCGTGACCGCTGAGTCCATGTCCCTACAGTGTGTTCGAGGGTGAGCTCGCCGATACCATCCCCGTGGTGCACGCGTCCATTGCCGGCTGCCGCATCATCGGGCGCATGTGTGTGGGTAAGACGAGTGGAGCCCACGAGGGTCTTTATTGTAGCCTCGGAGGGGACCCCGAGTGACCCTTTGATTTCCAGGTTTTCATTCACTATCTCCAGAGACTAGAGAATCCCCCAGACCTGGGCCAGACGCAGTTTAAGTGCTAGCAGATGAGGGACCATCACTGGAGATGGCTTCTGGATCATAGAATAACAACATTAAGTGCTTTCACTCTTACACTTGATTTCTCTCCTTCTTCACGAAGACCCTGGCAGGTAGGCATTATTGCCTAATCTGACTAATGATGAAGCTAAGATTCAAAGAACCCAAGTGACTCACCAGGTTCCACACCTAGTTTGAGGGAACACTGAAATGTCATTTCTCCCTTGCCATTGACTCTGGGCAAGTTGCTTCCTCTTTCTGAGGATCCAGTTCTGCAACTACAAAATGACAAGCTAAAATTCTGGGTCATCCTAGAATTTCAGCTATCCATTTAAATCTTAAATTCTCATTACCATTTCTCTGTGTGGCATCCCTATCCTATTCCCCACCGTCTCATCACTGTTGACTCTGGCCATTGGTCCTTTCTTTGAGCTGGATCAGTCTCACTGTCACTCCTTATTTCCTTATTGTCACCTGTCACTCCTTCTGGCTAGTTCTGCTCATTGTGGGGTCATATAAGAGTTTGTTTTTATTTTTATCAAAGCCTGATGACCTTTGCCTCTGAGTAACACTCTGGTCCCTTATCATGACCTTTGGACTTTCTGCTTGGTGGTTTTTTTTGTTTTTTGTTTTTTGTTTTTTTTATGATGTGTGTAACTGAGAGTTCAAAAGTTCAGAGTTATGTTCTTGCAGAGGTAGGCAAAGGTTTAGTTATTGTCACAATATAACTGTAGTTCTTTCTTTTTTTTTTTTTTTTAAGATTTCATTTGAGAGAAAGAGCACAGGAGTGCGGAGGGTCAGAAGGAGAAGCAGACTCCTTGCTGAGCCAGGAGCCCAATGTGGGGCTCCATCCCAGGATTCCAAGATCATGACCCAAGCCAAAGGCATTTGCCTAACTTCCTGAGCCACCCAGGCACCCCTGTTGTTCATTCCTTCTTCTTCTTCTTGTTCATTCTTCTTCTTGTTCATTCTTCTTCTTTCTTCTTCTTCTTCTTTCTTCTTCTTCTTCTTTTTTTTTTTATAAATTCCTGAGAGAGAGAGAGGCAGAGACAAAGGCAGAGGGAGAAGCAGGCTCCTTGCAGTGAGCCCGACACGGGACTCGATCCCGGGTCTCCAGGATCGGGCCCTGGGCCGAAGGCAGTGCTAAATCACTGAGCCACCTGGGCTGCCCAGTTTGTTCATTCTTACTGCACTTTGTAGAAGTATACCACAGTTATTCATCCATTGTGTTGACAGTTGGCATTTGGGTAGTTTTCAGTTCTATCCTGAATAGTGTTGCCATATCTTTCAGTGACATATGGACATGTTTCCATTGGATATATAATACCTAGGAGAGGAATGGTTTGGTCACAGGGTATGTGAATATTCTGTATGGTAGGTGATATCAGATAATTATCTGAAGTGGTCGACCAATTTATACTCCTGTTGGTTGTTTGTATAGTTTTACCAACACTCAGTATTGGCATTCTTTTTAAAATTTTAGCCATTCTGGGAGGTGTGTAGTGTTACTTGAATTTTTTTTTTTTTTAAGATTTTATTTGTTTATTCATGAGAGATACAGAGAGAGAGGCAGAGACATAGGCAGATGGAGAAGCAGGCTCCCTCCGGGAAGCCTGATACAGACTCGATCCCGGGACCCTGGGATCACACCCTGAGCTAAAGGCAGACGCTCAACCACTGAGCCACCCAGGTGTCCCTCAGTTTTTAAGTAGCAAAGTATACAACCAATGCCAAGAATTTTTCTTGCTGGTCCTCGTTCCCCCTGGTTGATGATGGCAAAGTGGGTGGGGTATGGTGGGATAGATTCTTGGGCTATCTCTGGCCTGCCCAGTGAAACTCCTGGTCCCCCTGGGTGTTGCATGGATCAATAGGTTGGTGGGCCGGGGTCTGGGCCTAAAGCTCCTGGGAAAGCTAACTGGGCTGGATTGTATCTTCAGCCCCCAGAGTTCAGCAGGCATCATGTATATTTGTGGTCCATCCTTGCCCCACCCCTAATTTGGATCTCTGTAGGGAATAGACATGGCCTTCTGGTGCCCAACAATACCACCGACCAGGAACTGCAGCACATTCGCAACTGCCTCCCAGACTCAGTGCAGATCCGGCGGGTGGAGGAGCGGCTCTCAGCCCTAGGCAATGTTACCACGTGCAACGACTATGTGGCCTTGGTCCACCCAGACCTGGACAGGGTAAGGTAGCCCGATTTGGCCCAGGATTCAGAGGTCCAGCCTAGTCAATGGTTAGTCACTGTTCTTGCCTATCAGGCAGGACTTAGGGGTGTCTCTTGTGGTTTGTCTTTATACTTGGGCTCTCGCATTTCAGGCACTCATTGGATAGTGATGATAGAGGCCTTCCATGGTGTGGTCAGTGCCAGAAAGAAGCTGAGGAGGGTATTAATCCTTCAGAATCAGGAAGATGGACCCATCCTGTCCTGCAACCAATGCCAGAGAGATAATTGACAGTTGAACTCTTGAGTGTGGGTTGAAGGGAAGAGAGTGATGTAGAGACCAGCCCCTGTGTACTCAGGGCATGCACAGATATTAGGGGGCTCTGTAGCTGGTCTCTACTCTGCTCCAAGCTATATTCCCTCCTTTTTCTGTGAGAAGCTTCCATATGCAGCTACATAGCAGAGGAGTGAGGGGCTTAGGAAGCCAGGCCATGGGTGCTTCTGGGCATGGAGGGCCCTGGTTCCTTGACCTGCAAGTTCTGGGTCCTGAGTACCGTGCCTTTGGCTAACAGGAAACAGAAGAAATCCTGGCTGACGTGCTCAAGGTGGAAGTCTTTAGACAGACCGTGGCTGACCAGGTGCTAGTAGGCAGCTACTCTGTGTTCAGCAATCAGGGAGGGCTGGTACATCCCAAGACTTCAATTGAAGACCAAGACGAGCTGTCCTCTCTTCTTCAGGTTCCCCTTGTGGTAAGCATTCCTTTCTCTGACCTCTGTCTCCTGTTGAGATAGCTCCTTTGCCCAAGTGTTAAGGATCTGAGTTATTACCTGTCACAATTTGCAGTTGGGGCTGCAGGTCAGGGAGCAGGTTTTGGGGAGAGTCCTTGTGAGAGAGTGGCAGGACATTGGTTTTTGGTGCCATGATCCACACCGAGCCATCCCTTGGCAGGCAGGCACTGTGAACCGAGGCAGCGAGGTGATTGCCGCTGGGATGGTGGTGAATGACTGGTGTGCCTTCTGTGGCCTGGACACAACCAGCACAGAGCTGTCAGTGGTGGAGAGTGTCTTCAAGCTGAACGAAGCCCAGCCAAGCACCATCGCTACCAGCATGCGGGATTCCCTCATTGACAGGTGTGTGGACCTCTCTTCTGCTTTTTGAGGGTAGGGGAAGGAGATGCCACCCGGAATGGGAGCCACAGTGCATTCATACTGGTAGGTTTTCCTCCTATGGGAGGGCCCACCCGCACACTGCTGAGCAGTCACGGGGTACGGTCAGCAAGCACCGCCAGAAAATCTGGTCATCCCTAGCTTTGAAGATTCAGCTTAATGTCCCCTCTCTGGGCAGAGCTTCCCTTTGGGCCATCTTATTTTCTCACCACATTGTTTTGTAGTTTGTGTCTACTTGTGTGTCTTGTCCCCAGCCGGCAGCCCAGAGCCTGTGACAGAAAGGGGCTGTTTACAGAGGGAAGGAGGGGACCCCGAGGGACTTGTTGGGGGTGGGGATTGCATCAAAATCACAATCATCTGGATTTTTGTGGATTAAAGAAAAGTGGGTTCTTCAGCCCTAACTCTGGAGAGTCAGGTGTGAGGCTCTGGAATCTCTTTCTCCTTTGGAGGAGCAGCAGGTGTGGATATTCACCCTTCCCATTGAAGATTCTATTCTTGTCAAGGCATGCCACACCCGAGGATCAAGGGAGTCTTTATGAGGATAGAAACCCCATAGTAGAGCAAGTACCCAGTAACAGACCCTGTACTTAACACGGGCAAAATTACTGTTTTTCATTCATTTATTTACCTAATGTGCACTGAGCCCTGTTCCCTAAGTAGCTCAGGAAGCTCCAGTGAGACACTCTGGTATCCTGGAAGGTTTTGTGGAGGACAGATCATTTAGTCTGGGCCTTGGGGGAATGAGTAAGTATTTGAATATGCAGAGATGCAGTGGGGAGGCCCTTCAGACAGACCCTGAGATGGGAAAGTCTAGGGAGTTTGAAGGGGAAATGTTGTACTGTTGTAGTGGCAAAGACCCTGAATGCCCACATCAAGAAGTTTTGACTGTAGGGCTCTGATTTTGACCTTTAGACTGTGTTGCAATACTTGTTAATGTAGATTCCTGGCATCTCTCCTCACTTAGTGATTGCCTAGGTCTGGAGTGAGACCCAGCCATGTGTGGTTTATTTTAATAAGTTTCTCTGGGTGATTCTGATGGGGAATCAGAATTGGGAGAGCAGTTGAAAGGGTCTGAATAGGAAAGCGGTACCAGTAGTTTTTTCATTTGTTCAGTAACTTTGTTTTGAACATCTATACCAGGCATGATGTTATGATAAGTAAAATATACCCTCCCTGTCCTTGTGGAATATAGCTTGCAATGAAGACAGTTTGTACACAGTCATTTAATTAAATAACAAACAAAAAACAAAAAACCTCTTAGCAGGCTAAGAACAGAAAAATTTCTGCAACATATTTGGTACCTCCTAAAAAACTATAGCAAATGTCATATTTAATGGTGAAGCTTCAGAAACTGCTCTTAAAGTCAGGCAGAACTGCCCACAGTCCCTAGCACAGGTCAGCATTCTGGTGTCCTAGCTCATGCAGTTAGATAAGGTAAAGAACTGCGTACTGGAAAAGAAGAGCCAAAACTCACTGGCCTCCTTTGGTTTTGAACCCATTGATTTGAGAGCTCACAATGACTGGGTCGGATAGGTGATTAGAAATACATACTCTTTTATAATTGTACACATAATTACTGCCTCCAGGAAGAATGTCCTGGTCCCATTCCTGCCACTGGGGGATTTGTGATCTGGGCATGTCCCTTCTTTTTGAATCCCCTTACTGCCTTCTCTGATGTTTGTTGGACTTGACCTGAGGTTCTGGTTTATGATCAGTAAGTTTGATTAAATTACTGAATTGAGTGGGGAAGGAGTTACTTTTAGTTTTTAAGTACTGAGAGCTCTACACTGGATTGTAACTCAAGGAAGCAGCGTAATCTGGGGCTCTGAGTGTGGCTCTTTGGGGCTGAGCTGGAACAAAGGGGTAAGGGTGGAGGCAAGCATCTTAAGAATAAAGGGTGAGGTGTGCTCTGAGAAGCACCAACTGACAATGTTCCTTCTTCTCTCTAGCCTCACCTGAGTCACCTTCCATGCTGTTCTGTGGGCTCCTGGCGCTGGACTTGGAATCCCTCTGTGCCCCACCCAATCTGTTTTGGATGCTGGCAGGGAGTTGGCAGAGAGCTCACTGTGACTGAGTGGCTGGATGCCAGCTCTTCACCTGTGCCCATCTCCTGAACCTACAGTCACTGTAAAAATCTGCCATATTGTGCTGTCAGGCCTTAAAGGCTCCTGACTGCTCTGTTTCCTGCACTACCCCCATTAAAGGGCAGCTGCCTCTGGCTATTCTTGAATGTGTTGTTTGGTCAACCCTCCTTCCCTAGCATTGTTCTGGGGAAAAGTAGGTAGGATGCACACACACCCTTCAGTTTCAGTCGCCCACCCTCCTTCCCCCATGATCAGGACGGGTGGCTCCCTCCCAGGGCAAGAAGAAGCACTCTCCACTGGAGTTCTCTCATTTTCCACAGAACTTCAACCTCATACTTCTGGGCTTCAAGGGATGGGGATCTGTTCCAGCTCTCCTCTGGGCGGTATGAGGAACTGTAGGGAGTCTGGGGCACCTGGCTACACGGCAGTCTTGTCTTCTTGGGCCGAGATGGACGGAGGTTGCCGATCTGGCCGCCCAGTGCCCTGGACGTCCTCTGAACAACTTACTTCAGTACCCCAGTGGGTCGAGCCGGAAGCGCCCGTTGAGTCATTTGTGTCTGGGGCGGGGCCCCCGGGACAGAGGAGCAGTGTTGGCGGCTTGCTGGTGGGCGGGGCCAGTGCGTGGTGAGGTCACACATCCGGCGTTCCCGGCGTCGGCGGCGGGTTAGCGCAGCGCGGACGCCGGGCGCGGCGCTGGGATACCTGGAGACCCGCAGCTCGGGCGACGCTGGGGCGACGCGAGGTGAGGGACCGGACGGGCTGGGGCGGGGCGGATGGGTGGTGTGCGGCTGACCTGCACCTGACGACCTCTCTTTACAGACCATGGGCGCTCGGCTGAGCGGCGGCCTGGGCGCCCCGGAGCCGGTGCAACCCCAGCCCGAGCCACAGCCCCAGCCCCAGCCCCAGCCCCAGCCCCAGCCCGGGGCGCCCGAGGCTCCTGAGCGGCCTCAGCCTGAGCCCGGTCCCTGGGGGCCGCTGGACGATGTGCGCTTCCTCATCGCCTGCACCTCCTGGTATTGACAAGCCGCCCTCCGCAATTCCTGCCTGCTGTCAACTGTCGTTCTGTCCGCCTCACCTGGCTCAACTCTGTGTCTCTTTCCACCCCCGGCGCCCAGGAGACCCTCGGAGAGTCGAGGAGGTCACGGAGAACCATAGGCCACTGGCTCGCCTCTAGCTCCCCCCAAATTTGTTCACTTCCCGGCCTGCACCCAAACCTTCGTGTTCAGCCCCACTCCGCAGCTTCTTCAGCGGTCTGGGTCCTGGGGCAGCCCTCCCTGGCCCTGGCTTCCAGAACCAGGCCAGGACTCCTGGTAAGACCTCAAGACTGCTCACCTGACCTCCTCTGGTCTGTCCCTTATTGCTGAGAATGAAGCTTTTGCTTTTGTCTTTAATTATGGCACCATGTGCCTTGGCTTCAGAGAACACCTAGTTACAGTGACCCTCCCCATACTCCTCCTAGGAGACGTTGCTCTGTCATCCTGGATCCCAGGGAGGCATTATCACACTGTGTTCTAGGAACCCCAGTAACTCTGGGGTCAGCCTTTTGGAGAGAGGAAATATCTGATCACTGGCCTGGCAGATGAGAAGTGTGGGACAGAGTGTGTCCCAAAGCACCCTGTTCCCCTTTTCCCAGAAGCTTCTTAAGGCCACTCCCAGAACCTGATCCTTGTTTTCACATCCCAGAGAAACAACACACTCTGTATTTTTGTTTTATTTAGAAATGATTTAAAAAACATTATACAAAGGCTGATCAGTTTAAAATGTGACTGACACTGAAATGCTGTGATGTTCCCCAGGCCGAGGGGAAGCTGGACTCTGGGGTCCCCAGTGCTGTGCCCCTCTGTCTGTCTGCCCTGTCCTGGGGTGATGGACAAACAGATGACCACAAGACAGGAGAATCCGAGATTGGAAACCTCCAGGCTGAGCCCTCTCCGGGCCTGGCCCTGCATCCCTCACATCTGCAGCCTGCGCTGCCTGCCTCCATCTCCTGCTCTTTCTCAGCTGGCCTTGGTAGTACCAGGAGCCAGTGGGGAGCCTGGGGAGCCTAGAGCTTTCGAGAAGTGAGAGCACCAACCTGAGGAGTGGAGAGGGACTTAAAAGGGGAGAAGGGAGGCCAGGAAGAGATGGATAAAAGAGACCCTTCTGATCTCATCTTGGACCCTAGAGGCGTCCATAGGTGGGGACCCAAGGCCCAACCAGCCCACCTGATGGCCTGGGCGAGAAATAACCTCTCTGTGCTTTATTTGAGGGCACGGTGAGAGTTACCCTAGGCTTCCCAGGGCCTGCACGAGTTTCATGTGAGTGGACAGGTATGAGCTAATAAAGTGCTTTGCAAAGTATAAAACACTATACAAACCTATGAATCACTAATATCTCTGCAGTTGTTCCCCACCCGCCCCAGGGAGCCCGCCCTTGGCCAAAATGAGAAAAAACAGAAAGATGATGACGGAACACAGTGGACCCACAGAGGTGCCTCTGGGACAAGAGAGATTTTGCTCAAGACAGCTCCCAGGGCAACAGTAGTCCCTGTCTGCTACAGGTTAAGCCAACCCAAAACCCAGAGGCCACAGGGAAGGAGCATGGTTCATGCAGGCTCAGAGGGCCAGGATGGCATCTGAGGCTCCGCCAGCACCCTGAGGACTGATTCCTCCTTTTGGCTTTGGCAGAGGGCCAGGGGGCACCACTGAACCCATTGGTCTTGCCTAGGGCTTTTCAGAGGCAAAAGGGCTGCCTCCACCAGGTTGGAGAGAGGCAAGCTGAGCCCTAGGAATTTCTGCCAGAGACCGTGAAGGGTGGGCCCCAAGCACTGGGACTGCTACCAGTTGGGGTGCCCTTTGCAAAGAGCAGTGCAGGATGGGCCCAGTGAGCTAGGTCAAGCAAGGGCCAAGCTTGTATAAACACTGCTTCCAGGCTGAGATATTGAGTTGGCCTCAGGGTACCTGGGAGTTTGGGCTCTGAACACTTGAGAAGGCTGCCCTGGGCCCATTACCCCAAAGCCATGAGAATGTTGGCCTGGAGCCATTTCTGCCTAACCTACCTAGTCAGGTTGAACCCAGGCCATAAGCAACAGAGCTGGGGACTGGGGGAGTGGGGAGAGGGACAGGGGAGTGGAGGATGGTCACAACTCAAATCAGCCTCCAGAAATGGGGTCAGCTCTTGCCCCAGCCCTTCAGCCTCATGAGCAGAATCCAGCTCCTGGGGTGTCTGGGCACTAGAGTGGCCTTAGCAGCACCTTGGTCCTTATCTCCTGGGGGAGGGCCAGCCATGCTGGCCTCATCACCAAGATAGTCACCTCTAATTCACCTAATGCCTCAAGCAGCCTTTGCAGAATGGGACTTTTAAAACAGTAGTGACAGGACATTTAAATATTCACGATGTGACAGCTGGGTCCTTGTCAGACCCAGCTGGGCCACAGCACTGCCTGCAACATGTGACCCTAAATCCTAGGTCTCAGAGGAGACCCTGATGTGTGGAGCAGGTTTCCTGAGGGATCTGCTGAATGCCAGCAGGGGAAACCCAGGCTTCTTGCCCACCATGTTGGCAGCAGGAGTCTTATAGCCTTGGAGGACAGTGGGGTGGGGGTGGGGGGACATCTGACCAGCAGGTGTTGGCAAAAGGGGACCAGGATTGGTGGCATCTCCCAGATGGAGCTGAGAGTGCTAGTGCTGGCTTCCACAGAAGGTGCTGGGACCAGCCAGGAACGGAGCCGTGGTGCCTCATTGATATACCACAGGATTCAGTGACCACAGGGCCTCCTCCTGGCATGGTCCCTGCCTCCTGATGGGGCCTGGCCTATTCCCTCGGGTAGGGAGCAGTTTACCCAGGACAGAAGGCTGGCAGCTGGGTGCCAGACACCCACCCTGGGGCACAGCCACCATCACTCCCTGCCCCATGCTCAGCCTAGGCCAACGTACCTACCACTTCAGCTGCATGACCCCTGGCCTAGGGCCCTGCTGGCCCAGGTGGGCAGTGGCCAGAGATGCGCCTCAGACCCTGATGAGGAAGGGTCTGGCTGGCCAGACCGAGTGGACAGAGAGGGCTCTGGGCTGCTCACACCCACTCCTGGACTGGCCGCTTATAGTAGGTGACAGGCTGAGGGCCTGCCTTGTTCTTGAACTGGAAAATGGTGTAGACCAGCACCAGGATGCAGAGGGACAGGATGCAGGGGATGACCACGGCCACGGCATTCACAGAGCCTGGTACGTCGTTGATGGTCACCATGATGTCCACATCGTCCTGGGGCAGCCGCCGCTCCTTCCGCCGCTCCACCTCCTTCTGGTTGCAGCCCATCCAATCACGAAGGATGTTGCGTGGGTAACCAGGCTCCACACTCAGTTTCTGGTTGTCAAACTTCCAGTAGTCCCGGCCCTTGTAGAAGTAGGTGTAATCTGCAGAAACATGGCCAGCATCACCACTCCCAGACCCTTCCCTGCACCTGCTCTGACCCATTGTGAGAGGGCTTAGGGTGCTATAGCAGCATGGAAGAAGGGCATCTCTCCTGCCCTGGAGTCACAAGAGGAACTCTGAAGGAAGGTGGCCATATCAAGGGGTGGGAGCAACATGTCGGAAGGCTTGAAGTTGGGAGGAGGACAGTGCTTGGCACACTCTACAAAAGTGTGGCAGGGTCACAGAGTTGCAGAGAGGTGTGCCCAGGACCTGGAGCAGTCTAGCCTGTCATCTCAAAGGTGCTAAGAGGCCACTGAGGGCTTTATGTAGAATTGATAAGTCCCAATTTGTGCCTCCCTGCCATAGCTTGGGATCACACTGTGCCTATACCATCCCCCACTGCTGCCCACACATGCAGGGGTGAGAGCAACTCCCAAACTATGGCTTGGACAGCACTGCCTTCATAGCTCTAGGGCCTCAGTCCAGCTTCTGCTTGAGGCAAGGGAGGCAGGGAGCAAGGTTTCTCCTTTTGCTGACAGCGGACACCACCTTGTCACAGTTATCATGGATTTTCTTTGGTTTGTCACACATTACAACACAGATGCAGGGTGTCTGGGACCCTGCTGGGGAAGGGCCTAGAAAGAAAAGAGGTGGAGGGGCTGGGCAGGCTCCCAGCAACAGCCTTCAGGGCCCAGCCAGTCTACAGATAGCAAAGCAACTCACTCAGACTCTCCTATTGGACAGCTCCCCACCCTGGGACTTTGATTGGCCAAAGTCCTTGATGTCACCTGTCTCTGAGGCTCCCAGAAAGTGAGAACACATGTGTAAAGCGTCAGGTACACAGAAGACCCACCAAGTAGCAGCTCTGCCCCTGAGACTTCTGGCTTTCCTACCAGTGACATCTCCTTGGAAAGCCCTTCCCAACAATGCTCTCTAACACACCCTCTCACCATCCCACCCCAACAAGCACTCCCTTCCCTTAGAGCGTTTGTTGCCACCTTAGTTGTTTTCTGCCTCTAGACTAGGAGCCAGGGATGCAATGCAAGTGTTGTTTTCTGCTCCTTCCCCAGCTCTCCCACACAAGCCTGCTCTCAGTAATTACTGTGCAGTGAGTGAATGACTCCTGTTGTTCTACATAAAATAAAACACACCAACAAGATGATGTCAATGATAATAGCAGCTAAAACTCATGTGGCAGGGACCATGTACTAGGTGTTTGTCTAAGTGCTCTACTTAATTTATCTTATTTAATTCTTATAAATGCTGTCGAGATAGGTACTATTATTACCCCCCATCTGATAGATGAGGATGCTGGGAAAATTTTGGGCTGGTTTGCACCAAACTCCTAGTGAGTGGTGGAGGCGGGACGTGAAACCAGCCAGGCTCCAGAGTCTGTGCTTTTGACCAGATCAGGGGAAATGTATTTAACAAACATTCATGAACTCCCACTCTGCACCTGGCAACACCCAGCCCCTCTTCTGGCGAAGCTTGTAGTCTGGTGGGAAGCTCCCAGCCTAGCCTCCAGGAGGAACTTAGGAAATGTCTCATAAGTAAAAAAAGGCTTCTCTCTCCATCTGCCTGCCCTAAAGCCTTATAAACAAGCACCTTTGAAAGCACCCATATCCATCATTGCTTTTCAGATTTGATAACTCAGGGAACCCCTAGAGTACATCTGAGCACCACTACTTGAGAAACGCTGTCTGAAGGGGTGAAGTCAGTCTGTGAAAACATCTCTCAAATGTGAGTCATCCCTGCAGCTGAGAAGTGTGACTTGGTAGCTGGTAAGAGAATGAATTGACTGTGTGAACCTGGGTAGATATGAGGCAGTTGTCTTTAACATCAGGCACCTTTCTCAAAGATGCCCTGAGAGTATGCCCATGGGCCCTGTTGAGACCCACATAAAATCACACCACCCCCCCAACACAGCCAGGTCCTTACGTACATCCTTCCTTGCTGATGAAAGCCCCTTGGGGAGCCTGTGGGATGCCCTTCCAAACAGTGATGGGCTTGGGGTAGCCAGGGTCTGTGGCCCGCCGCTCCTCGCTGTAGCGCCAGTACCGTTCACCTTTGAAAAAGTAGGTCTTCCCCACAGGTTCCCAGCGCAGAGCCGTATCAATGCCTTCTCGGGGCAGACAGCTCCCCAGTTCTCCCAGGCTGTGGGGGTACCCCGGCTCCACCGTCACCTCCTTAAACACCCAGTACTTGTCACCTGTAGCCAAGAGAAGCCCAGGATCAGCTTTCCCTGGTCACCTAGCACCAGAGGTCGTGGTTAGTGCCACATGTCCATTTTCTAGGACTGAAATCATTCATAGCCAGAGTGTCGGAGGAAACAACTGAGGCCTGCTCCACAGCCTCTGTCTCCCACAGAGCAAGGAGGCAAGAAGCCAGAAGCTAGCCACCACAGATGCTGGGCAACTGGCCTCCTGCTGCCCAGCCTCCGTGCCCCACCCCACTGTTGGCTCATGTGATTTGTCCTCTCTGGGGTATCCTCAGCCACTGCGGTGGCTTCACACATATTAGTACTCCCCAACCTTCCATCAGTGACACCCAGCTCTGAGGGCTCACAGCCACTTCCACCAGACCTGAGCCCCACAGCCAGGAACCCTGATCCCATGCACACCAGCCTCTGAGCATTTCTACATTGGCTTCCTAGAATTCCTCATCACCTCCACAGGGGGCTACTTCCCTCATCACCTTTCTGCCTCCCGGTCCCCAATGAGAAGTCCTGGCCTCACCTTTGACTCTTTCTTTCCTTCTCTTCTCAGTGTTCAGCCTCTCATGAGGTCTTTTGCATCTTAACTGTCCCCACTCTGGCCTCACTGGTCTTCCCCAGTGTGGGCCTTGTCGACTTGCTCCCCTCCTGTGCAGCAGCTGACTCAGAAATGGCCTCCCCGCCTCTGCCCTCTGGCTCTCCACTGCTCAGAAACATCTAGTGGGTCAGGACTGCATTCTGGCCTGGAAACCAAGACTCCTCAGGATGCT